GTTACAAGTTTTGGTTGTCGTTCGTTCGGATATAACTTTACTGGTTGGAGAGATGCAGGAGTCCATCCCTGGCACTGCAGGGCCCTCAAGTATCGCCTGTGTAGCCCTTGGGGCGACAGAGCACCACTGCAGGAGGCTGTGGTCGCCCAAGAGTCTGCTGTGGTGGGCCTGGTGGCCGCAGCGTGACAGGGCAAGCAGCCCCCTCCCCTCAGGCCCTAACATTGAATGGCCCAACCCAGGAGTCATTATCACGGTGGCCTCAGAGAACCGCTGGGAGGTCTACCTTCCCCCCATCCCCAAATAGGAAAACATAACCTGCCCAATCTCCCACTGTGTCCACATTCCGTCTTGGGGCTCTCTGTGGAGTCGCCACCTATGGCCAAGAAGCAGGACTTGGGCCGGAAGGAGAGAATTGCCGGTAGGGCACTCGCCTCACACACAGCCAACCCTGATTCTATCCCCAGCACCTCATATGGTCCCTTTGCCCCACCAGGAGTGACCCTCCCTCCCTCTCTGAGCACAGAGCCAGGAGTCAGCCCTGAGCACCACCAGGTGTGACCCTCCCTCCCCCCTCCGCCAATAAAAACAGCAGCGAGGCTTGAATGGAGGCCAATGAGTGACCAGGTGAAGGCGTGGGACAGAGCATCTGCTCTGCTGGGGGAGACCCCGATTAATCCCTGGCGCCAGCTGCATGGCCCCTGCAAAGCAGGGAGTGACCCCCCCAGCACTGATCCCCCAAATATCGAGCCTCCCCTAGGTGTGGTGCAAACAACAGAAAAGGCAGGGCCGGAGCGATAGTACAGCGGGGAGGGCGTTTACGTTGCAAGCAGACAATCCAGGTTCGATCCCCGGCATCCCATATGGTCCCCCAAGCACTGCCAGGAGTAATTCCTGAGTGCAGAGCCAGGAATAACCCCTAGAATCACTGGCTGTGGCCCCAAAAGACCCCCAAAAAAACACACGCAGAGAAGGCAGCCAGGTGGGTTCACCCCAGGCCTCCAGGGGTCCTCTGGGGCACCCCACCTCCAGGGACTGTGCCGGAAGGAGGGTGGGGCAGGTGACTCACTCACTTGGGTCTCCTCGATGCCCGCGCCCTGACTGACACTCCCCGTTCCCAGGTCCCCGGAGAATCTCTCCCCCACACACCCCTGTGCCCCGCTTTGTAAAAAGAAATTAGGTTTCCCAGGCTGTTAATTGAATTACACGGCAGGAGCGTGGAACAGAGGCTCATTAGAGCCTCCTGTGTCCTATTGGAGCACAGAGTTGCCTTTGCAGCTGCCATTAGCATTTGTCATTCCATTCCCCATCAGCCTCCCGGGGGCCATGCCCTCCCTTCTCGGGGTCCCTCACCAGCACCCCTAAAGCTGCAGTCCCCAAGCCCTGTCCAGCTGAGGCCGCCCTCCCCACCCGGAGAAGTCCCAGCTTTGCAGGCACGGCCCCTTCCCCAATGCAGAGACCGTGCGTGCCGGGGCCAGCTGACAGATGGCAGCAGGGGACAGTCCTTGCCAACACGGTAGCTTGGGCAGCAGACGGGGAGAAGGGCCACCCGGGCACCCCCGCCCTTCTTCGTTTGAAGAATTAGGGGCCCAGCCAGCTGATGTTCCGAGGCGCTGCTCGTGGTCGGAGAGATCACTTAGCCCAAAGGGGAAGCGTCCCCCACCAGGCATCAGGGCACCGGGCTTGGTAAGAGACGCCTCATCCTGAGGGTCAGGAACAGTGACCCTTCCTGTGCCCTGAAGTCATGCCTAGAGAATGCCAGGCACCGCTGGATGTGGCGTGTGCCACAGTCCTGGGCAGAAGAGACCACGTGCTGCTGTGTGTGTGTGTGCATGTGCGTGTGTGCATGTATGTCATTGTATATGTGTGTATGGATATGTGAGTATCTGTACGTGTGTGTGCACGTGCATATGTGCATGCATGTCATTGTGCATGTGTGTATGGATATGTGAGTATCTATATGTGTGAGTGTGTGCATGTGTGTGTGTGCATGTATGTCATTGTATATATGTGTATGGATATATGAGTGTCTGTATGTGTGAGTGTGTGTGTGTACAAGTGTGAATACGAGCGTGGGTGGGCGAATATGTGTATATGCGGGGAAGGTGCACAGAGGTCCGGCAGGACTGCAGGTCCCCCTCACTGGGCACTGCCCCACAGTGACCATCAGAACCTGTGAGTGTCTGCAGTGAGGATGTGACAGCGTCATAACAGGTCACGGTATGGGACATGCAAGGCCAGTGCCCCTCCCCGCTGTGCTGTTGTTCCGGCCACACTGTCCACTTTTGAGCAACCCAACCGTCTGCCAGGAGGATGACCTTGGGCCCACCCCTGCTCTGGGCCCCTCAGCGCCTTCGTGTGTGAGTTGGCGTCTGGGGCAGCCCCATACCGGTGTTAGGCCGCACCAACGAACTTAGCTGCGGGTGGAGTCTAAACTCTTCCTTGTCCCAGATCTGAGCGTCCCAAGGACCCAACGAGATTCATGAGGGTGAGCTGAAACGTTCAGTTTACTGTGGGCGCCCTCGGGCGGTCAGGCCTCTGGCCCGTGGCATACCCCTGCTGAGCCTGCCACGTTTCCGGAGCCCATGAGGCTCTGTGGCTGTCAGCTTGAATGTGACCGGAGCCGACTCTGTGATTCTTGAACTCTGTGTCTGTGGCATGGCCTGGCACCGCCAGGCTTGCAGTGTGTGTGTGTGTGTGTGTGTGTGTGTGTGTGTGTGTATGTTTGAACAGGAGAGAAGCAGGAGAACCAGCAGCATTTCTTGAGCTATGCTCTCTCTGTTGTTCTCTCTTTCTCTCTCATTGCTGTTTTGCACAGGGCCGATCCGAGTTCGATCCCCCGCACCCCCGTATGGTCCCTTGAGAACCACCAGGATTGATCCCTGAGCACAGAGCCGGGAATAAGCCCTGAGCATCTCTGGGTGTGTTCCCCCACCAAAAGAAAAAAGAAAAGAATTTCCTTTCCTTCTTTCCTACCTTGCCCTGTGTTCTGGTTCCACCCCACACCCTCTTTCTCTGCGCACCCCCAAAGCCCGCGTCTCTCTGCTCCTGTGTGGCCTCGGCCCAAAGCTTGGGGCTCTGCCCCTCCGGGGTACCCAGCACCCCCATCGCTGACACTGAGTGGGGCGTGGGTGCCCGTGTGTGCCTCTCTCCCCCCGCCCCAGTCCCCACTCAGCCCCCAGGAAGCAGCGGCGGGGCTGGGCCGTGCGCCCCGACTTGTTGGTGTGAAACATCACTCTATATTCCGCCCAGGTTCCTCCGAGTGAATTATGCAAATCCTTGATGGAAAACCAGTCCTCGGCACATCCTTGAGAGTGTAAAACCTTAGTCAATAATTCATACTCGGATGTCTCTGACTGCGGGCGTTTCTTCATTATAACTTGCACCTCGTTATTTGTCTTGCGTGTTTTATTGTATACGGCTGGTGTAATGCCGTGCATTATAAAATTTATCTGCTTCATTATTGGACGAGCTGGGGCTGGGGGTGTGGGCCAGGGCTGCCCCTGGGACCGAGCCACGCATGGCAGGCAGGCTGCTGGGGGCGTCGCTGCAGGGACCCCGGCCGGCATCCCCACACCGGCTCCCGAGGTCTCGCCCACGCTTCTTATGTCGCTCTTGCGCATGCGTGCTCTCTCTCCCTCGCCCCTCTCTCTCTCTTTCTCCCTCTCCTGCTCCCCAGAGGAGGCTGGGACCCTGTCTCTGTCCCCTGTGTCTCCCAAGCCTGGCGCAGACTCTCACAATGGCAGGGAGGCTCCATTTTGGGAGAGGGGGACCTGGACTTTTTGCAGTCATGCCCCCTCCCCCATTCCCCAGCCCCTCCCCCAGTGCCTACAGAGCCTGATGGTGCCTAGGTGGCTTCTGGCTTGTTCTCTCCATCCTGCAGGTGGGGAACCTGTGTGACTGAGGGATGTGGGGAGACCAGGAGGAACAGCCGAGGGAGCGTTGTTGCATTTTGCGGGTTTCACAGCCTCCCGGAGGGCGCAAAGCCAGAGACTCAAAGCTCTGGGACTGTAGGGCCAGGTCGGACCATAGAACCCAGAGACCCCCAGGCTGTGGGGAGCCCATGCGGCATTCTAGGGTTGTGGGTGAGGGGGCAGCCCCTCTTGCTTCCCACCAACCTCTAGCTCAGATTCCACACTTAGCCATGACCAGTTCGAGCACCCACTGTGTGGTGGTCCATCCAGCCCATGAATTTCCACAGCCCAGCCGTGAGCCATGGGCTGTGGGCCGTGGGCCATGGGCCGTGGACCGTGGGCTGTGGGTTGCAGGCTGTGGGGCATGGGCTATGGGCTGTGGACTGTGGGGTGTGGGCTGTGGGGACCCGCTGGTCACTGAGCAGACCTGCTCACATGTGTGCTCACTTCACAAAGAGCCCCGAGAGGCAACAGAGAGACAGGACGGGGGGAAGGAGGACTGAGGTTCAATTCCCGACATCCTAGAGGACCCTTTTAGCCCACCAGGAGTGATCCCTGAGCACGGAGCAGGAGTAAACCCTGAGCACCACCAGGTGTGGCCCAAAAACCAGAACTAAACAAACAGAAGCATAGGAAAAGCGTGCGACAGGAAGGGCAGTGGACGGGAAAGGCAGTGGACAGGAAGGGTGGTGGGCAGGAGGCGGTGGGCAGTAGGGTGGTGAACAGTAGTTGGGGTCAGTAAGCGATGGACAGTAGGTGGTGGGAAATAGAGCGGTGGGCAATAGAGTAGTGGGCAGTAGGGCAGTGGACAGTAGGCCCTGGGCAGTGTGGTGACCCACGCTGCTCGTGCCCTTGTTCCTGGGTCACACTCCATGTCCCGCATCTTGAGAAACCCAGGGAAGGCCACCTGGGTCCCCTCGAGGGCCTGGGGTCTCGGAGCTGGTGAGGAGGGACTGTTGGTCAGGGGCACAGCAGGAGACCAGGGCTTCAGGCAGCCCTTGGCCCTCCACAGACCACCCCCAGGGGAGCCTGCTCTGGGGACGGGGCGGGCAGGGACCCCCAGATCACAGTCCCCCCTCTCCCCTGCAGTCCCGGCCATGATCACGTCCCATCCCAACACCACCATCGCCATCAAGGGCCAGGCCAAGGAGCTGAACTGCACGGCGCGCGGTGAGCGGCCCATCATCATCCGCTGGGAGAAGGGGGACACGGTCATCGACCCCGACCGCGTCATGCGCTACGCCATTGCCACCAAGGACAATGGCGACGAGGTGGTGTCCACGCTGAAGGTGAGCCCGCCTTGGGAAGGGGGTGCCAGCCGCCATAGCCTTGGCAGCCCCAGGAGTCGATGAGGACCCTGGGGCGCTGCCCTGGTGCCCCTCCCCAGGGCCTGCCCAGCCTTGCTGCTCCTCTCATGGCCACGGTCAACACCTGACTCAGTAGTGGGAGCCTGGGCTCAGTTCCTCCGGACCCCTCAGCTCTCCTGTGGGCCACTCAGCCCCCTGCAGACCCTTCAGGCCCCTGCAGACCCTCAGCACCCCTGAAGCCCCCCTGCAGACCCCTTAGGCCCCTGCAGACCCCTCAGCCCCCTGCAGACCCCTCAGCCCCCTACAGACCTCTCAGCCCCCCCCCGCAGACCCCTCAGCCCCCTGCAGACCCCTCATCCCCCCTGAAGCCCCCTCAGCACCCTCTGGACTCTGCAGCCCCACTGCGGGCCTCTCAGCCCCCTTTGGACCCCTTAGCTCCCACCTGGACTGTTCTACCTTCTGCCTCTGCAGAGCCTTTGACAAGGCCCAGGACTCACCAGCCCCCCACCCCCAGGTAGAGCCCCCCACCCCGCTGCCTCGCTAAAGGTCTCCCCTCCTCCCTCCCCTCCCCCTGTGTTTCCCCAGCTCCAGCCGGCGGACCGCGGGGATTCCGTGTTCTTCAGCTGCCATGCCATCAACTCCTACGGGGAGGATCGGGGCCTGATCCAGCTCACCGTCCAAGGTAGGCGCCCCCCTAGGTGTGTGCTTCCAGGGCTGACCCCCAGCACAAAAGCTTCACCTGCCCCCCACCCCCCGCGTTGGTAGCCAGCACCTGGCTGCTGGAGGCTCAGGACAGGAGGATAGGGCCAGCTCGGAAAAACTGGGGCATGTCTTCTCCCACCGAAGAGAGAGGACAAGGCAGCTCCCCGGCGGGGGGGGGGAGGGCGTCCACAGGTGACCCCAGCCCCTGGAGGCCAGGCTCCCTGCTGCCACCCTCACATGGCCTCCCGCTACCCCCCCCAGAGCCCCCCGACCCCCCGGAGCTGGAGATCCGGGAGGTGAAGGCCCGGAGCATGAACTTGCGCTGGACGCAGCGTTTCGACGGGAACAGCATCATCACTGGTTTTGACATTGAGTACAAGAACAAGTCAGGTGGGTTCACATGCGCCCCGCGCCCACTGCCCTGGGCTGTCACAGCTCCACCTGGGCACGGGTCCCTGCTTTTTCCCCAGTGGTGTCCCGGGTCCAGCTAGATACCGAGGGGGGTTGGTGGAGGGATCCCAATGGCAGGCAGAGGGAGCCAGCCCCTTCCTTCCCTGAGCTCAGGAAATGGGGTCTGGGTTCCCGCTGATGCCCACATGCTCAGGCGCTGCAGAGCCAGGGATGGGGAAGGGGCAGGGGGAATGCTGGTGTCGGTGATTAGAGCCCGCCCAGGGCAGGCTGGGACGTGTGCTCTCCAGGCTCAGGGCTGTGGAGTCCTCGCTGAGGCCTGAAGCTGCTGAGAATGGACCCCCAGGGGATGGACCCCCTTAGGAAGCTACTCTGGGGGTTTCCTCCTTCCTGTGCCTCCCCAAGGGCTCCAACTCTGGCCTCAAGACTGAGTGAAGCCCAGTGGGTTCCCCTGAGAGACCCCTGGGAGAAGCCCAGGGTGACGGCGCTTCAGTGGCCAGGCAAGATCTATGGCCCATGGATAGATTGTGCTTGTTTGAGGGCCACACCCAGCCATGCTCTGAAGGCACTTTCCTGGGAATTGAGCTCTGGAGGTGCTCAGGGGGCTTTGTGTCACCCAGCCTCTACTTGGCCCCCTGCGCTGTGTCCGCGGCCCTCTTTCACGCCTTTTGAAATCAAGTCCATGAGCCTTTTGCAATCATTGTCGAAGACTACACAAAAAACGGGGGGTCTGGAAAACGCAGACCTGCTGGCCTCTCCTAGCCCCCAACTCGTTTGCGGGAAGCAGCTCAGAATCTCAGTTCCCTCCTTATCTTGTGCTCCCTGGAAGCTTCCAGAACCTCCTGCCCTCTTTCTCCCAGTGCCTGGCTGGTGGACGGGTGTCTCATTCCCAAGCTGACTGAGCCCCACCCTGCTGGTTTCCAGAACAAGCCAACGATGGACCTCTGCAGCAAGAAAGCTGTTGGTTTTGTTGGGTGGGCAGGGACAGTGCCTGGAATCAAACCCAGGACCTCAGCCACGCAAAGGCAGGTGCTGTCCTTGGAGCCCACATCCCCGGCCCCTGGCACTGGGAGCCAGTGAGACAGAGTGGCCAGCCAGGCTGTAGGGGGTCCGTCGCTCCTCTTCCTGGGCTTCTCCAACATCAGGCGCTCCCCACGGTCTAGTGGGGGAGAAGGGTCGGGGTCCAGACTTCACCCTGGATGCAGGAGGGGGGACCTCTTTGGTCCCCGGCAGGCGCATTGTGACTACCGGGAGCCGGGTCCTGAAAGGGGCCCAGCCCACAGGGTAGGATGGGACAGTGTCCTGGGGCTCAGAGGGGTCTCCTGACGGGGGCGCAGGAAGCAAGTGTTGCTGAGAGCTTGAGAGCTGCTGAGAGCCTCTGTGAGGCCCGCAAAGACTTGGGGAATATGGAGGAGCCCATTGTCGGGGAAGAAGGAGGGTGTCTGGGGGAGCGAGGCTACTGCATCCCCCCTGCAGGGAGAGAGCAGAGGGGTCCGGGGCACAGTGGGGGTGCCAGAACTCCAGAGCCTCCCCCCTGCTCCCAGTCACTGCCCCATGGGTGCTACACACACACACACACAGATGCACACACAGGCACACACACGCACAGGCACACATATGCACACACGCACAGGCACACACATGCACACACACACAGAAGCACACACAGGCACACACGCACAAGCACACACATGCAAACACACGCACACACAGGCACACACGCACAGGCACACATATGTACACACAGGTGCACAGACACACACATGCACACAGACACACAATCACACATGCCAGACACACACTCACCTGCATGCACACACACACACACACCACATTGGGGCTCGTGTGAGCACAGCTTTCCTGGGGGCTCCTGCTCAGCCGGGCAAAGTAAGAACATCGCACATCTGGGCAGCTGTGTGGAGGGAGAGGCTGCGGGCAAGAGGCGCTTTTCAGAGCATGGCCACGTTGTCTCCCACCCCTGCCCCTGCCACTCTGGCTCCTGCTGGTTGGAGGAACTGCCGCAGCCCAGCCCAGGGCCAGCAGGGTCCAGCCTGGCTGGGCAGGGAGGGAGCAGAGCCCAGCCCTTAACTCACCCTCGTGCACGACTCTGCACCCAGAAAATAAATCCCAGGGACAGGAGCGCTGAGGGCCAGCCGCTCCCTCTGTGGCCCTTGGTGGTGGACCTGGAGGGCCCTCCAGGCTGGCCTCATGCACGGAGTCTCCCAGGGTGTGAGCAGGGGTTGGGCCAGGGCGTGAGCACAGCGCCACTGCCCTGCCTGGGAGCCGGGGACAAGGGTGGCCTCACCTGACTTGTCTCGTGCCTGGGTTCGAGGATTGCAGAGAAAGGCTCTAGCGGGTGGGGGGGGGGGGTGACCGCCGCTAGCCACTGTAAGTTTCTCTCCCCTCTCTCAATCAAATCCCTCAAGCGGCAGCTGCTGACGGTCCCACGGGACCTGCCGGCATAAATACACGCACGATCCGTCTGTCTGTTTGCAGCGTCGGGCACAGCCATGTGTCAAGGGAGAGAAAAAGAAACGGGAGACAGAGGCTCGCCCTTGGAGCGTCCCATGGGGCTGGTGCAAAGACAGGCGGGCACCCACATGCACACACATGCATACATGCACATACCACATGCTCTCACACAGCACACACGTACAACACGCACACACATGCTCTCATACAGCACACGCGTGCAACATGCACACATGCATGTATGTACTCTCCTCCCCATGGAAGCATGCCCAGTGCTGTCTTGCCACGTGAATGTGCCATAAACTGGATTGTGTGAGGCTGGACTCAGGGTCCACGGGGCGCGGGTGGGTGTCCTGAAAGGAGGAGGGTGGGGGCAGCGAGGGGTTGCACGGTCACGTGCCCCTTCCTGCTCACAGCAGACCAATACCATTGTCAAAGCAGAAGATTGGGCTTCAGGGGGTCCCAAATGTATCTGACCCACCGCCCCCCTCCTGGAACGCTACAGTCTTTAAGTAAACCAACCAGCACCCCCAGATTCACCGAGCCTGCCACCTACCATACCCCATCGCTGCAGCACCCCCCCGTGGGGGAGACGTTGCCCAGTTGGGGAAGATGCGGGGTTGGCCAAGTGATGGAGCCTGTGTGCTCCCCCTTTACGTGGCACATGGACCGACACCCACATCTTTCCGGGTGCGGTGGGAAGGCTGACCGCACCGGATGCCTCACTTGGCGTGGTGGAGACGCGCACGGGAATCCTGCTCCATCCAGACGCTCCAAGCGCCCCCTCCTCATCCCCTCCTCCCCCATCCTGGCCCGCCCGGACCGTCTGCTCCCTGACCCCGCTCGCTCTTTGCCCCAACTGTGTCTCTGCCAGGTTGTTCGCCATGTTGCTCCTTGTACTAATTTTCCGAGGGAAATTACGCCGTCTGCCCTTTCGGAGCCATCCGCTCCCGCTCACTCCTCCTGGCCCCAGGCAGCAGAGTAATAATACATGAATGCTGAATGATAAATAGCACGGTCCCCACAAATCTCTCAGACGGCGCTGCGCCGCTTTAAAAATGCAGACTCCGGGCTCCCCCAGACCAGTGCAGGGAGGGTACCCGGAGATCACACCTCAGAGCCCGGGATGCAGCTCAGAGCCCGGGATGCCTGCCACCCTGGCATGTGCCAGCCCGGGGTGGTGCGGTGGTTGGTGAGAGCCGGGGTACAGATGCTTAGGGGAACCGGTGCGGGGATAGGGTGCCCAGTGGGTGTGACCCCGGGAATCTCTTCTTGATGCGGCAGCCGTGGGACCCTCGGAGACAGCTGGTATTGGCAGGAAGCTGCGTGCTGCAGCCATGGCTGGGCTCCAAGCTGCTCCCCTCCACAGCAAAAGGGGCTCCTGAAAAAAATAAAATAAAATACCCCAAAGGCTCTCAGGCCGCTCCCAGCAAGCAGGGGAAGGGGGGCGAGACTCCCCACCCAGGGGTCCCCGCGCCTTTATTTTTTTTTAAAGAAGAACACTTTGCATCCTCAAACCTTTGATGAAGAAAGGCAGAGCGAACCCTTAATGAAATATGTTAATCTGGCTAAGCCGGGCTCGTATGAAAGGGAATATTAAAAGAGACAATATTCGCCTGCGCCAGCTTGGTGCTCTAAGCTGGAAGGGAAGAAGCCAGGATTGCCCCCTCCACACCCCCCCGCCTTCCCCCAAACTTCAGTTCTCTGGGCCACAGGGAGCAAGTCTAGAAAATTCACCCGATGCCGTCAGATTTCACTCCTGCACGTTAGCCTGCAAGGGTGGTGGGCCAAGGGCTATTTGGTGCCGACTCAAGAGGTGATTTGGGAACCCACGGTCACGTCCACCTGAAAAATCCTCCGCAGAAGCAGCATAAAAGCAAGGAGAGGGGGGTCGATTTCTAGGACAGCCCCCATTGTCTTGTGACTGACAGCTGAGTCAGGCCAAGAGGGACTAGGTGGAAGATGTATAGGACTCAACACAGAGGAAGTCCCAAAGCTAAGGCCAAAACGTGGTTTTGAGGGCCAGAGTGATAGTACAGCGGGTAGGCCGTTTTGCCTTGCACGCAGCCAACCCGGGTTCAATCTCCAACATCCCATATCGTCTCCCCAGCACTGCCAGGAGTAATTCCTGAGTGCAGAACCAGGAGTAACCCCAGCATCGCTGGGTGTGACCCAAAAAGAAAAAAAAAGTGGCTCTGAGCTCAAATTAACCATCAGGTTTAAGTGCCCAGTGCTCGCTGGCACAGGAAGTGCCGCCTCTGGGACGGGCTCCTGCCATCACAGGGCTGGGCTGCTCCCTGTGTGGGTGCCACCCGGCCCGTAAGTCACAGCATAGGGAAGAGGGGCTCTGAGCACCATGGAAGCACAAGGACCGAGCAGGGAGGGGGCCCCGGCAGTGACGCTTATGCCACATGCTGTGGGCCCTGAGAGAGGCTGAGAAATGCTGTGCGCAGGGGAGTTTTGTGTGCGGGATGCACATGAGGGTCACACGCACACGGACCATGCCAAGACCTTCGGCATTATGGGAGAACCTCAGATCCGTGTGGAGAAGGCATGGGGGCCATGGGGAGGGCCACGTGAAAGCTGGTTCAGCTGTTCCATACCAGCCAGGTGAGGGGTGCCAGAGGCTAGACCTGGCATGTGGATGAAAGAGAGGGATGGATGAGCTACAGAAGCTCTGGAACCAGAGGCTGGACAATAAATAGCACAGCGAGTAGAGCGTTTGCCTTGCACGCAGCCAACCCGGGTTCGATTCCCAGCATCCCATAGGGTCCCCTGAGCACCGCCAGGAGTGATTCCTGAGTGCAGAGCCAGGAGCAACCCCTGAGCATCACCAGGTATGACCCAAAAAGCTAAAGAAAAAAAAACTCTGGAACCAGAGCGTCAGACGGGAGGAGGAGACAGGGGCAAAAGGGGGAGAGAGGGGAAGAATCGGGATGCCAACACCTTTGGCCTGAGCTGCCAGCAGAGAAGAGGGTGGGCATACAGGGGGCATGGGGAAGACATCAGTCTGGACACGGGGAACGTAATGTGACTTGGGGACAACCAGGGGGAGACCCGCTGGCTCCAAGGGTCTGGATTTGCAAAACACCTGGTAGTGCCCGTGTCCAAAGGGAACTCGTCGGAGCCTGGCTGGGAAAAGTGTGAGGCGGGAGAGAAGAACCTGGGCGGGGTGGGGGGGAACCCTTTGAGCAGGAGGGAGGGAGGAGGCACCTGGAGAGAAGGAAGAAATGGTCTGCGAGATTGGAGCGAAGCCAGAAAGCGTTCAGCCGGGGAAGCGGGCTTCCAGAGGCGGGAACCCTGCTGAGAAATCGGTTTTGCCCACCTGGCTCATCCCCAGTGGCTGGCAGATCTCAGCACCTCTTCTCTCTGGCCTCCATCATTGTATGCACATCCTGGAGGGGGGAGCGGCATGGTACGTTTGGGGGGGTGGGGGGCTGCTCTTTCTGCCCACGCTTATTAGACCACACCGTGGCGCGTGATCATGGGGGGGGCCTGCATGCACCCACCCAGGGTCACTTGTCAGCTGCCCCCCTCCACCTGCCCTCTCGAGGTCAGCCCGGTCTCTCCTGGACCCGGCAGTGTCCCCAGCTGGTAGGAGCCTCTGTGTCTGCACGCAGCCCGGGCTCAGCCCGCCAGCCGCAAAGTGGCACTCCGGGTGGCCCGGGTGATTTAAAAGACAAGGAGAAAATAATGTGTTGTGGGAGCAGCCACTGCCTGCCATGCGTGACTTTGGCTCCCGGAACCGAAGAATTAAATGCGGAACTGCAGATGGGGAGCTGGGCCCGTGCCCTTCGGGGAGGCTGAGGCTGGCGCAGCTCAAAGGGCTGTTTTTGAAAAAACATCAAGACCCCAGGATCTGGGGAACTGGGGAACAGGGGTCCTCTTTCCTGGGGAACCGATTGCCCCGATGGATCAGACAGCAGCTTTAAAAAGAAAAGAAAAAAAGAAAGAAAAAGTCTTCCTACAAATCTTTCTAGAAGGCGCCAGCCTCCTTCCCCGATTTGGGGATTAAACGGGAGTGAATACAATTTAATCTTTTCTACTGAGGATCTTCAGGGTCCTCTCTGTGGGTTTAGTGGCATGGAAATGAGGCTGAATGGCGGAGTGAGGCGTGCGGGGGGAGACTTGTGGGCGCCCTCCAAGCTTGCTTTCTGCTTCTCCTTTTCTTCTTGAAGTGAAGAACCAGCAGCCTGGTCAGGGGTTCTGGTCTCCACTGAAGCTGCTGTCACCGTCCCCACGCCACATGGCCCTGTGCCCCCAGTGGGTGGAGAGCAGGGTGACCAGATTTCCTGGGGATAACCATGTGGGGAGGGGGAGGGAGTACGGTCCTGATAGCCCTGCGTGACCTTTACAGGGTCTGGGTTCTCATCACCTTCTGCACCTTCTGCAGCTTTTCTGAACATTTCCCTGGGAGGGGCTGTTAGTGTCCCCTGGTAGAACAGGAACATTTCGGACCCTCAAGAGCCAGAGATTTATGTCCTGCTGGTACGAGGAAGGCAGGGGTAGGCAGGTGTCTCTGGGTCTTGGTCTTCAGGCCCGCTGAGGACCACCACACTCCCACGTGGAGGGAGGGAGGAAGGGGCCAGGATCAAGGGGTGTGTGGCCCATAGTGGATAGGGCAGCTCACAGCCAGAGCAGGCCAGGGGAGGGGGCTCCGGCCAGTCCGGGGTTCAGGAGCTCTGAATTCCCAATGATTCTGGGAGGGCCCTGAGGAAGAGCTCAGTGGAACCCATGTGAGGCTGGAGCTCCCAAGTTTGGCCAGATCTGGGGCGAGGGGCGCTCCAAACACTCAGGGCGAGTGTCACTTGCCCCTCCCCTCCCAAGAATTCCCTGGGTCTCTTCGGGGTTGGTTGGTTGGTTTTTGAGTTTTGACCCCCAGCCATCTGTGCTTAAGCCTTACTCCCGGCTCAGTGCTCACTCCAGCAGGTGCCAGGGATGGAAACTGGTTCTGCAGCGTGCGAGGGGCCCTGGAGAACAAGCAGCAGCCCCATTGGCTGTGTTTTCCGTGGGGGCGGGGCCGGTGGGACTGGGGCGCTGTGGTTGGGCGGCGGCGCGTGGGGGCGGGGCCTGGCTCAGGCTCGGCAGTGGTTTGCAGGGCGGGGCACTGTCTTCACTGCAGATTCCTGGGACTTCAAGCAGTCCACGCGCAACATCTCCCCCACCATCAACCAGGCCAACATCGTGGACTTGCACCCGGCGTCCGTGTACAGCATCCGCATGTACTCCTTCAACAAGATCGGCCGCAGCGAGCCGAGCAAGGAGCTCACCGTCAGCACGGAGGAGGCAGGTGAGCACCTGGAAGGGAGCGGAGTGGGGGGCGGGGGGTGGAGGCTGGCAGGGTCCAAGGGGAGGGAGACCCCCCCCGCGTGGTTACCCTCCAAGCCAGGGTCATCTGGGACTTCCCCGGGGGTCTCGGCCAAAGGCAGGTGCTACCCCCTGGCACCAGCCCCTCCGGAAAGCTCAGAGGTGCTAGAACAGATGGGGTGTCACTGCCCAGGGCAGTGGTGGCAGTTTTAGACAAGACTCCTTTGGTAGTATTTTCTTTTATTCCTTCTGTGGAATATGAGCTCTTCACACAATTCTGTACTGTCAGAGGTGCAGTATTAAAACAACAACAACAAAACAAAACAAAAGAAAAACAGTAAAGATTGGAAACTAGAGCACAAGCTGACCCGGAGGTGAGGGTGGCCAGCACGAGTTGGCGAGGACACCAGAAGCATCTGTGCTACTGGGACCCCCTGAAGGGGCCTGGGTCCAGTGCTCTTGCTTTCTTGAATCCCCCCACCTTGGCCTTGGCCAACACAAGTATGTTTTGCTCTCTGTCCAGTGGGAGGCATTGAGAAGTCCCACTTTGGGGGAAGTCCTACTTTGTTGGTTTTTTGTTTTTTTTTCTTTTTGGGTCACACCCGGTGATGCTCAGGAGTCACTACTGGCTCATGTACTCAGGAATTGCTCCTGGCAGTGCTCGGGGGACCATGTGGGATGCTGGGAATCGAACCCGGGTCAGCTGCATACAAGGCAAACACCTTCCCCGCTGTGCTATCACTCCAGCCCAGAAGTCGCACTTTGGGGGCCGGAGTGGTAGTACAGCAAATCGGGCACTTGCCTGGCATGCAGCTGAACTGATTCCATCCCCAACACCCTGGACGCACCAGGCGTGATCTCTAAGCCAGAAGTTAAGGCCTAAGCACTGCTGGGGGGTGGCCAAAAATATAAAACAAGTGAAAAAGACACTTTGTCTTCTTTGGCGTGCTCCTGGTTGAGCTCATCTCCGACTGCTGTTTTTCCCGGTGAGGGCCATGGGGCCTTGTCTCCCACACAGCGTGGCTTGGCCATTTGACCACAGGGGAATCATGGGCACGCAGGTCGGGGTGCATACAGCTGGAGGCCGCGAGTCTGTGCTGGTAACTGGGCTCATGAGTATGTCAAGACAGTATAAACTGGGGCGGCTCGAGCGATAGCACAACGGGTAGGGTGTTTCCCTTGCATTCGGCCGACCCCTGTTTGATTTTCAGCATCCCATATGATTCCCGATCACTTCCAGGAGTAATTCCTGAGTGCAGAGCCAGGAGTAACCCAAGCATTGCTGGGTGTGACCCAAAAAGCAAAAAAAAAAAAAAAAAAGTGTAAACCATGAGTACTCATCCTATATGCACCCTCAAGCCTCTAGTCAAGGGGACTGGAGAGGTAGCACAGCGGGTAAGGCATTTGCCTTGCGTGCAGCCAACCCGGGTTCGATTCCCAGCATCCCATATGGTCCCCTGAGCAGCGTCAGGAGTAACTCCTGAGTACAGAGCCAGGAGTAACCCCTGTGCATCGCCAGGTGTGACCCAAAAAGAAAAAAAAAAGTCAAACAGGAAAAATAATGCTGCAGCCTTGTGCCCATTTGCTCTCCGGGGATCAGTACTGAATTATGTCCCTCCACACCCCCCCGCCTGCACATGCTGTGTCTGCAGACCTGGGCATGGAACAGTCAGTATGTCCTGATTTCCTGGGCATGGACAGTGGAGGCTGGGATGGTCTTGGAGACTCCAAGCACGCTCTCTGCTTCCCCCAGGAGCTGGTCCTTCTTACCCACATGTGCCAGCTGAGTAGGTTCCAAACAAGAACACAAGACTCTTCTCTGAGAGTCTCGTGCTGAGATCTCATGCCGCCCAGTACAGCTGGCCAGGGCACTGAGAACACGAGCTGCTTGTTCTCTCTCATCTTGTTTCCCCCACCTCCCCTCAGCTCCTGATGGCCCCCCCATGGATGTCACCTTGCAGCCAGTGACGTCACAGAGTATCCAGGTGACCTGGAAGGTAAGTGGGCTCCATGGCCGTTATCTGACATGCCTCCCTGCCTCCTCTGTCCAGGATCAAAGGGCCCAGGATGCACTGGCCTCTGATTTCTGATGCCCATTGGCTAATCTAGCGAAGCTGGAGGGGTGGAAATCGAGGGGGCATAAAGGCAGGTGGCCCCCCAGCCTGCCACTGTCCCAGGGTGGGACAGAGACCCGTGTCATGCTGGGGAGAGGAGGGGTTTTCCTCACACTGGCCCCACATGGTGGAGGGGGGCAGGGTTGGGTTTGATGGATACAGAGGTCAAGGACCCCCAGGTGATGGGCTGCGGCTGGGAGGTGATGGCCTCACCCTGGCCTGAAATGGGAACTGGGCGGCAGGAGGAGACCATGCCCATTGTCTCAGCCACCCATGGCCAGGGGTCTACCAGGTCTCCATGGAGGACAGACAGAACTAATCTCCTCCCTCCCTGCCTCTGGTGCGTCCTGAGCAAGGCCAGGAAGGGCTTCCCTGGGGTAACTCAGGCCTTTGCTGGGGTGCTAATAGCTTTAGAATCTGGTGGGTCACACTGCCCCCCCAACGCGTTCTCTTTCCTTTGCTACATTTTCTCTACTTTGTAGCTGTTGTATTAGCTGAGGGTGGGGTGGGGGGCGCTGAGGGCTGCTCCCTGCAGTACTTGGTTAAGGGACCAGACAGCTCAGTGCCTGGGTCAGCGGTTGGGGGGGCCCCAGGCCTACTCAGCAATTCTGGGACAGGGATTGGAAGTATTTGGTGCCCAGGGTCGAGCTTGGAGTCACCTCCCCGCACTTTTGTGTGTTTCTCGCCCCACCTGATCCCACCCTCTGCTCCTGTGGTCCGGTCACATCTTTTATATCCTCGCCCCCTGGAGAAGGCCACTCGTGTGATGTCCCCGGCCCGGTCAGCAGTGATGGGGCAGGACTCAGCACCCAGTCTTGCATCCCTACCACAGCCCCTCACAGAGTTTGGGGACCGAAGGTTTCTGTAAAGCTCAGCTCGGGTCTTCTTGGAACTTCCCACAGTGGGGTTTGCACCCATCTGCATCCAGGTCAAATGTCAGAGTCATTCTCTGTCTGACCCAGGATGGGGGACTAAACCCTAATGCTTTCATATTCCCTTTGGGCTCCTTGAAATGGGAGACTCAGAAGGACCAGGGGGATCATCACCCCAAGGACAGCACAGAGAGAGCTGCACCCCAACAGGGCTGGCTTTCTCCCTCCCCAGGAACGGCCAGCAGGGACAGGGCAGGGCCTAGTACTGGACCCTTCCTGAGACCAGCCCCCAGGAGGGGCCAGAGCTTCATTTTCCCTCCAGTCTCACCTCTGGACTCCCACTAGAGTGCTCAGAGAGGGGCAGTGGAACCCAGAATCCCCTTCCAAAAGCCCGGCTCCTGGCCCATCAGAGGAAGCCAGAGGCAGCGGGGATGGATGAGTATGTAGCAGGCAGGACCCTCGACAGCCAGCTCTGACCCGGAGGTCGATAAAAATTCAGAATCAGATTTATCTCTCCAAAGTCTCATAATGAAAAATAAAATTGATTAGAAAGTTAGAACTTCAGAATGAACCAGCCCGTCAATAAATTTTGGACTGACTTCTCGGGGGATTTTTTTTTAGCACCGAGAAACAGATTAATGAAAAATAAAGATTCACTTGAAAGATAAGTCACTTCATTTTAAGACTCTTTCCACGAGATGGATCACCCCTGCTTTATGACATAAATTTGCAATCAGCCCTATTGATTTCTTAATGCTTCAGAGAAATATTGTTAAGATTGATTTAAATCCTAAATGCGCCTGTTGGGGAGAAACAGACAGTGAGAGAAGGAAATGGAAAGAAAAAGGAAGGATGGAGGAATGAAGTTTTTGATAAACATGCATATAAGTATGCAGGCGCCTGCACCCGCGGACATGTGTGTGCGCACGTGCGTGCATGTGTGTGTGTGTGTGTGTGTGTGTGTGTGTGTGGTCAGGAGTTCCCAGATGTTCCCTCCATGGCCCCTCTATATACTGATGAGAATGAAAGTTGTGTTTTCACATCTGAATCACGCAACGACATCTCTGGGATGGCCTTAGACATGATGTAAAGCTCTGTCTGCCTCAGTGTGTGTCTCTACATCTGTGTGCGTGAAATATGAGTGCATGGGCTCAGTGTGGACAAAGGGGTGTCAGGTTCTGGAATGTTCCTCTTGTCTCAGATCAATGTCTGTATAAGCACTCAAAGATAGCCCCTGAAATGTGCCCACTTACAAACCAGCAAATCGGCCAAGCGCAAAGAGGAACGTTATTCAGACATTAACGAAGTGGAGTCAATTAAATACACTGACACACACACACACACGCACACACACACACACACACCTATTCTGCGAGCTCAACACAATTACGTTAAATGAAAAAACTTCATTTTATTGAGTTAATAGTGAGCTTTAAAATGCAATTCGTTTAAAACATTCATTGAATTAAGAAAAAAAAGAAAGAAAAGGTATCAGGGCTGTTTTTCCTAACTTAATTGTTTTTGATCTCACTATGTTTTCCTATAATAAAAGGTGGGCTCTTAAATTAACTCCATTGTCTTTAAAATCCCCAATCAAGCTGCTTTTCAAAGCTCAGGGGTGGGTGTGCAGGTCCCCCCTCATTCGAAGAGCCATTTCTAACTGTGGGTCTTAATGTACCTGCCAGCGGGCCAAAGTGTGGGCGGCCGGCGTAATGTGTGTTTGCAGCCCCAGAAGTGAGAGGATCCCTCAAGACTGTATGTGTGAGAGAACCAGAGTCCAGGCCTGAGATGCCGGTTGTGTCTCTGAGCTGAGCAGATGCCCCCCTTCACGGAGTACACAGGCAGTTTCTCTCCAGGGCACCTGGGACCAGCCCTTCTCTCCTGGCATCCTCTGCCAAGCCCTAAAATGTTCCTTCTCAGTCTGTGTCCTTGAGCATCAGCCCCACTGAGGGCCTCGCTTCAGGCCTCCACCCTCAATACACCCCAAGACCCAGCTCCGGGAACCCCAGGGCAGTGGGGCTCCATTGCCCCCGGAGGATCGTGGCACACTGAAGGATGCTGTTTCCTTTGTCACTGTGAAAATGCACATTGTTTGCCTTTGTGTTTTGGTTTGGGGGATACATAGGTTGTGCTCAGGAGGGCATCACTGGGTACCAAGGATGGACCTTGGGACTCCTGCATGCCAAGGATGTGCTCCAGCCTCTCGCGCCAGCCATCCCCCAGTGTGAACTCCAGCCTTCTGAGTCAGCCATTTCCCTGCATGGGCTGCAGCCCCCCTGAGCTGTCTCCCGGGCCCTACGTTTGTTGTTTGAATATCCACTAAGAGCACGCTTGGTGTCATCAAGCATGGTGGAACCGTCACCACCATCCACTTCCAGAACTTTGCCCTCGTTAAACACTGACCCTCTTTCCCCACTTCCCAGCCCCTGGCAACTTCTTGTCCTTCTCTCTGCCATTCCGGTTTTGCCTCTTCCTGCCACTTCAGAAACCGTCTCCTACAATCCCGTCTCCCGTGGGTGACTTCCCTGGGCACGGTGTGTTCGGGGGAGCAGGAAGGCTGTCAGAATTTCCTTCCTTTTCAAGACACATGCTTTTCCAGGGCCTGGATGGAATGATGCACTTCTTTGTCTCCCCATCAATCGGGGGGTCCCTTGGGTGCTTTCCTCTTTTGTCTAATGTGAAGAGTACTGCTGGGAATTGGGCGGTGCGGGTGTCTGTGCAGACTCCTGCTTTCAGCGTCCTGACTTCTGAATCTGTGGCAGGTCAGTGCTGGACTCGGCAGCCGCCCCCCCGTGGGTGCACCCCCAAGCTGCTGTGGTGCTGAGCCCCTCCCTACACCCTGTTGTCAGGGTTGGAGAAGACCCAGCCTGGTGGTGTGAGGTGGCATCTCAGCGCTCTTCATACTCACGCTGCTGCTCCCACCCTGTCTGTCTGGTTCCTTTTCGCCTGCTGCTGTTTCCCTCAGCCCCTGAGCCCATGCCAGATGATATACCCACCCACTCACTGATCTGTCCATGTACCACACACCTGACCAGTGCCCCCCACCCTCCATCCACCCACCCATCCATCCACCCACCCACCCACCCGTCCACCCACCCATCTGTCCATCCACCCACCCATCCACCTACCCATCCATCCATCCACCCTCCCACCCATCCGCCCATACATGCACCCACCCATCTATTCCTCCATTCACCCACTCATCCATCCACCCACCCACCCACACATACACTCACCAATCTATCCATCCACCCGTCCATTCATTCACCCATCCACCCACCCATCTATCCACCCCCCACCCATCCACCCATACATCCACCCTCCTATTCATCCATCCATACATCCACCCACCCACCCATCCATACATTCACCCATCTATCCATCCACTCACCCATAATTCCACCCACCCACTGAGAGCCCACTACCTGCCCAGCACTGCCTGGATGCTCACATCTTGCAGTAAACAGACAAGCCTTATCCTCGTGGTGCTTCCCCCCGACGGGAATAGGTTCCTAGATGAAATGTATGGGATGAGAGGGTCCAGAGCGATAGTACAGTGGGTAGGGCATTTGTCTTGCACAAGGCCACTGGGGTTCGATCCCCAGCACCCCACGTGCTCCCCCAAGCCTGACATGAGTGATCCCTGAGTGCAGAGCCAGGAATAAGCGCTGAGTACCTCCGGGTGTGGCCGAAACTTCCCACCTCACAAAAAAAAAAAAATAGAAATTATGGGATGGGAGCTGACGCTAACAATGGTGGAGGACACGGTTAAAAATAAGTATTGGTAAAGGGAAATGTGTTTGATACTTACATGACTGAGACCTAAACCCGAAAGCTCTGTAACTTTTCCCACAGTGATTCAATAAAGAAATAAACTATTAAAAAAAAAAAAGAATGGTGGAGGAAAGTCCAGTCCTGGGAACTGAGAGGCTGGGGCTCCAGGAAGCTGCAGAGAGGCCTCAAAAGGGGGTGTTTCCTGGACAAGATCTGAGTGTTAAAAGTAGGTAAAGGGATATACCTGATGACCTTTCGGTATCTGTATTGCAAACCACAATACTGAGAGAGAGAGAGAGAGAGAGAGAGAGAGAGAGAGAGAGAGAGAGGCGCCTGATATAGAGGCAGGCTGGGGGTGGGGGTGGGGGTGATGGGAGGGAACCTGGGGACACTGGTGCTCCACTGTACACTGGTGGAGGGATGGGTGTTGGAACACTGTATGACTGAAATTCAGTCATGAACAGCTTTGTAATGGTCTGTCTCACAGTGATTCGATTTAAAAAAAAAATTTAAGAAAGAAATAGGTGTTTCAGCAACTGCAGAGGGGAAGTAAGTTGTGGGAGGGCTCTCTGAGGAGAGGGTGGTCCCCCTGAGATGGGGATGTGGTGCCTGGTGTAACAGCAGGGAGGTGATTGGCAGGACCTGGGGGCAGGGGGCAATGAAGAAAAGAGGCGCTCAAGAGACCCTCTGGGTCAAGCCTGAGGTTTTTATCAGGGCGGGGCGGGGGGCACACCCAGCAGTGCTCAGGTCACACCTGGCGCTCTGCTTAGGGATGATTCCCAGGGGTGCTCAGGGAAAATGCCAGGGAACCTGGGTAGGCTGCATACAAGGCATATGCCCTAACCACTGTACTATCTCTCTGGCCCCCAAGTTTAGTTTTAAGAATATCATCTCAAGGGCCAGAGTTCAAGATACAAATGTTGTCTGCACCGGACCCCAGTCTGATCCCAGGTACCGCAGGGCCCCCAGAACATCTCTGGGCGTGGTGTGCCGGTCGGTCCCTGGCAGCACCCCATCCTTGGACCCTCTCCTTGAACTTGCTCCCAGTTGGCCAAACATCACCAAAATGGCCTCTGGGGCCCCAGAGCACTGCTTGAGAGCCCCCCACTATTATTCCAGGGTCACCCTGTCTGTCTCCCCTCCTCCCACCCATCCCCACAGGCCCCCAAGAAGGAGCTGCAGAACGGCGTGATCCGGGGCTACCAGATTGGCTACCGGGAGAACAGCCCTGGCAGCAACGGGCAGTACAGCATCGTGGAGATGAAGGCCACAGGGGACAGCGAGGTCTACACCCTGGACAACCTCAAGAAGTTCGCCCAGTATGGGGTGGTGGTCCAGGCCTTCAACCGGGCCGGCACGGGGCCCTCATCCAGCGAGATCAATGCCACCACGCTGGAGGACGGTGAGGGCGCCCACTGGGGCAAGGGGGGCAGTAGCGCCAGGCGTTGGGCAGAGCAGGGCTGCCATGGGAGGGGGCCCCTTGCACACCCCACCGTCCTGCCCCAGACCCTCCGTCTCTGCTTAGTCCACTGAGAACTGCAGCCTATTCAGTCAGCCCCTCCGGCCTGCCATCCAGCCTTCGTTCAGTGTCCCTGCCCTGATGACCGTCACCTGTCTGGCTGGACTCCTGGCCGAGCCAGCTGGACCTCTAATTCCTGTTCCGCTTCCCCTGCCTCCAGCAGTTCCATCCTCTGCTCCTGAGCCCTCCCTCCTGCCACCCACTGGAAGCTGAGCAGAAATCGGTTCCCCGGGCCACCTTGGGACACCGGGCTCCTGCTCACCGGGACATCAGGTTTCTCTGATGAGGAGTTCGGGGTCCAGGTCGGCAGGGGAAGGTGGGACAGAGAGGAGATGACCGCGAGGCCAGCTCACACGCTAGGTCCTGCCCCGGGAAAGAGGCCACAGCTCACGGGAGCCAGTACCTCTTAGAGGGGAGCCCAGCTGGGGACACCCAGGACCAAGGTCCTTGCAGGTGGAACGCTATAGGGTACCAGCATTCCAGAATCCCCCGTGTCTACCCAGGGCACCAGCCCAGCCTGCCTGAACTGTCGCTGATGCCCACGGCTCTGGCGGGCTGCGAATCTCCATCCCGGAGACCAGGGCCCCGCTGCTGAGTCATTTTTTCAGAACAAAGGAGGAGACGGGAAGAAAGTTTCCCGTGGCATGCGCTCCGCAGTTTTTCATACTTAATTAAGGCCCTCGTTAGCCTGTCAGCTCCTGATGGTTCCCTGGCAATATTAGCACTCCTCCCGGGGTATTCAAGGCCCCTGCTCTCGCAATAGTGTCTTTTCCATAATTATATTACCTTCATTTTGTTCGAACGGGCGATCTGTATTAGTTTATTACACTGGGTCCCTAATTACATGGTGCTTATATTTTTACACCTAAGTAATATGAAACAATAATCATTCTCAAAGAGGGTCGTTAGGATGATGTATTATCATTTAAATGCTCGTAAAAATTAGACTTGCCTCTCGTGGGGCGATGGGATCTAATTACCTTCCACCCAGCCCGGCCCTCCTCTCTCCCCCTCTGAGCCGAGCGGCCACGGCCTCTCCCGTGGCCTCTCCCGTGGCCTCTCCTCCTATGGCTGCTGGCTCCAGCGGGAAACCCGTGAAGTTCTCCCCGTGGGCAGATGTTCCAGCGCTGGTCCCGCCCCTGTCCCGTTCTGCCTTGCTTGGGTGGAGATCAGCGGAAGGTGGGGTCAGGCGGACCCCTCTGCTGGCCTTTGGGAGTATTCCCCCCCCGCCCACGGTTCGAGGCAGGCTGTTGTGTTCGCAGGTGGGGACTGAGGATGAGGGGGTGATCGTCTTGCAAGTCCTGAGGGAGTGTGGGACCACCCCTCACCATCACTGGGGTTCATTGAGACCCTCAACCTTCAGATTGGTCCAGGACGCCAAAGGTCCCCAGAGTCAGGCTTTTAGCCCAGAGCCCCAGGTCGGCTGGCATGGAAGGGCTGGCAGGGATGGGAAGAGATGATCCATCATGGGGACCTGCAGGCACTACCCAGGCTAGTGGGCCCAGGTGGTCTCTACCCCTGTGTGACCCCCACTATGCACCGAGAACCAGGAATGTGGGGCCAAGAAGGTGTCTCTCTCTCTCTCTCTCTCTCTCTCTCTCTCTCTCTCTCTCTCTCTCTCTCTCAGAGAGGACCACACCCAGTGGTGCTCAAGGATCCTCTCAGCTCTGTGCTCCACATGTGCTCCCAGCAGTGCTCAAGGACCTCACGGTGCTGGGGATGGAGCCTGGGCTCCTCGCATGAGAGCCTGCACTTGGGCTGAGCAATCCCTCCTACTCCACATCTCTGTTTTCCCTAAATCCCAGGGAAGGGAGACTTGGCTGCATCGGCCCATCCTCCAGGGGCTTCCTGAGTCTTCCTGGGGTCCTTTCACTGTCTCCCCTGAAGTTCTCCTGGCCGGGCAGCAGGGACACGGAGCTTGGGACCTGCCAGCCACTGAGCTGGCCCTTTGGTTCTCCCCACACTGCAGTGCCCAGTCAGCCCCCCGAGAACGTGCGAGCCCTGTCCATCACCTCCGATGTGGCCGTGATCTCGTGGTCGGAGCCCCCGCGCAGCACCCTCAATGGCGTCCTCAAAGGATACAGGGTCATCTTCTGGTCCCTCTACGTGGACGGTGGTGAGTCTGCCGGGACGGGGGCTGCATCCACACTCGAGAGCCGAGCATCTCCCAATGGGGGTTGCGTGGGAAGACACATCCCAACACATGGTCCCAGCCAGAGTCACGGGCCCTTCTGGTCACCCCCCAGGCACTCAGCTCTTGTGGGCGAGTGTGTTTGGGAGGTGAGGAGCAGATTGACCTTTCACATGGGACGTCTTGAACTTCAGCCTTTGTGCATCCCAGCAGGGGGCAGCTGGCAGGAGTCCCCATAGGGGCACGGGTGGGACCAGCACCAGCAGGGTCCGGAGGCCCTGTGCCCCCAGAGCCCGGGGAGGGAAGAGGGGGTGTCACCCAGCAGAGACGCAGTGGAGCGCCGAGCTCAGCAGTGTGTTGGACTCTGAATTCAGGCCTGGGTTCCCTCGAGCACCCCCACATCACTGGGAACGGCTTCAGGTCCCGTGAGCCCTGCTGGACTTTGCCTCTATAAAAATCGAAGGAAAAGGGAAAACTGAAGAAACAAACACTCAGGGCAGCTGTGGAAACTGGAGTGAAGCAGGCCACAGCCCGTGCACTAGATACCTCCTTCCTCTGTGCTGCACCCTCCAGGCTCCTGTGCCCCCCACAGCCTGCCCCAATGACCAGACACCCAGCATCCCTAATACAGGGATGTTCTCTGGAACCTTTCAGACCCCACAAACCCCATGGGCTGGAAGGAATTTGCTTCCTCCGAGGCTGAACTTCCTGCCACAGCCCTGGGGCTTCTTCCTTCTGCCCTGCAGGACACCAAACCCCAGCTCGAGGTCCCCTCTGAAGGCCAGCTGCCCACTCCTGGGACTCTGCACAGTCCTGCAGGAAGTGCTGTCCACTGCCATCAGCTCACTGTCCTCTACAGAGCTCAGGGCTTGGTCTAAGGCCTAGTACCAAACACCTGGTCCCTAATACCTGTCTCAAATACCTGGTCCCTAACTATCGGTCGCTAACACCTAGTCCCTAACTCCTGTCCCTTAGGCTGGGTCCCTAACACCTGGTCCCTAACTCCTGGTCTCTAACACCTGGTCCCTAAGGCTGGGTCCCTAATGCCCAGCCCCTAACACAGGGCCCCTAAGGTGGGTGCCTAATGCCTGGTCCCTAATACCTGGTCCCTAAGGTGGGTCCCTGACACCTGGTCTCTAGTACCTAGTCCCTAAGGCTGGGTTCCTAATGCCCAGTCCCTAACACCTGGTCCTTCGATCTGGGTCTCTAATACCAGTCACTGTGAGACCAGGCCCCAAGGAGTTATGCTGCCAGGCTGGGGTGGGTGGCCCCACATTTCCAGGAGGGCTTCCTCTCTCTGAATCTGGGGGCTGCTCTGGCCCCTCAGGTAGGAACCCCAAAAGTGGCCATGGGGTGGAAGTTGATTTAGAAGCAGCTGGAGGCTGAGTACTTGCCTCTCACCTTTGAGGGTCACTTGAAGAACGGATGACCTCTCATTGTCCCCCCAGGGCACCTTGAAATTGGGGGATTCCCTAGTCTCTAGACGGGAGTAGTCTGAGCGAGCAGAGCAGAGTCAGGGGGGATGCAGGGATGGCAGGAGTGGGCCCGGGGCGCGGGGGGGGGGGGGGAGGGGGGCGAGACATGCAAAGGGGATATGTGGGGGTGTGGCCGGTGGGCCGAATCAGTGTTTGGGGCGGGGCTGGTGGGTGGGGCAGGTTTCTGGGGCAGGACTGGTGGGCGGGGCCAAGGCAGGGGTGGGGCCAGGGTTCAGGGCGGGACCAGGGGCTGGGTGGGACCTGAGCTCAGGATAGGTTCGGTGGGCGGGGCCAGGACTTGGGGCGGGGCTAGGACTCAGGGCGGGGCCGGAGGGCGGGGCCAGGGCGCGCGCGGAACCGTGGGCGGGGCCTCCAGGCTGCCTGGCCCAGAGCACTGAGTCCGCGTTACCCTCCGCAGAATGGGGAGAGATGCAGAACATCACCACGACGCGGGAGCGGGTGGAGCTGCGGGGCATGGAGAAGTTCACCAACTACAGCGTCCAGGTGCTGGCCTACACGCAGGCGGGCGATGGAGTGCGCAGCGGGGTCCTCTACATCCAGACCAAGGAGGACGGTGAGTCCCCAGCTCATCCGGGAGCACGGCTGGGTGTCTGGACCCGCTCCCCTCAGAGGCGAGAGACCCGTGGCCTGCATGACTCTGTGGCTGGCCCTGAGCACCCCAGCCAGCGGGGACAGAAGATGGGGTGCTCCCCCCCAAAAAAAATCTTTGGTTCGTGTTATCCTGCTCCCGGATAGTGAGAAAGCCCGAGGGTGTGAGTCACACACTACAGAACAAAACTGAAGGCACGAACTACAGAACAAAACTGAAGGTCCTGAGAGGCAGCTCGAGGAGTTTGCTCTCCCCTCCGCCATCTCTGGCTCATCAGCACCCTTGCCCATGCCTGCAAGAGGGGCCAGCTCCGGGCAGCACCCCAGACATCTTTGGGGGTTCCCGAGCAATGCTGTCTCCTCCTGTGGGCCTCCCTCTCTGGGGAGAGACATACAACACACAGCCACGTAGCCTCACTTCCCATTGACCGTGGTGGCCTCTGGCTGAACCAATCACCCGAAAAGGAGTGCCATTGCCATGGTGACATCCCAGCGGGCACCTGAACATAGAAGAAGGTACCAAAGTAGCAGAAGGGAGGGTGAAGGGAGGAACAGGGTTAGAGGGACATTCTAGGGAAGTTTCATCTCCAGAAATGGGGCACTAGGTCACCCAAGCCCACCCTCCCTTCCAAGAACACTAATCTGGATAAAATATTATTTAAAACACCTGCCCAGGCTGGAGAGATTGTACAGGGATTAAAGGCGCTTGCCCTGTAGGCAGCTGACCCCGCTTGAATCCCTGGCAAGTGCATATGGTCCCCCAAGCACCACCCAGGACCCCTCCTGAGCACTGCCAGGTGTGGCCCAAAGTCAAAACAAAAGAACACCTGCCTGAAGGCCTGGGAGAGCTGGCGGGAGAGTTGGACAGTGAATGGGAGGCCTGGGAGCTCGTCCTGGGGTGTGGAACTTTTCTGCTCGGGGCATTTCTTGAGCTCCGGGGAGAGCAGCTGAGATACGATGAAACAGCACCTGGAAGCCGTGTGTTGGAGCCCACCCTACCAGGGCGAGAGAGATGGGCCTGGTGACCCCTGCCCTGTGCTCTGGACCCTTGCAGGACAGCTCAGCTTCAGCTCAGCACACTCCTAGAATCAGACTCAAGCAACCACAGTCTGGAAACGCTCCAGAGGGCAGATGCCTGTCAGAAGCAAACGCGAACCATCTCTTGAGTAACATGAACGCCAGGGCCAGGGCAGGGTTTAAGGAACTTCCCTTGCACTGGCTCGATCCCTGGCCATAGGCTCTCCTGAGCACTGCCAAGGGTGGCCCAAACACACACACACACACACACACACCAAAAAGAAAATTAACATCATCTCAGGTCTCTCAAATTATTTATTTTCATAATTCCAATTCTTTTTGTGTACGTATGAGCATACGATCTGCATGTGTGAGGCCCTGGCATCATGTGTGTGCCCCCACCCCACAAAATAAGAACTATAGCACAACCAGAGAAGGAAAAAAGAGATTACCAGTCAAGAAACATCAATTCAGTTGCCAGGTACCATCAAAAACAACAGATTCCAGAAAACACAGCAATATTATATGTAAAGTGTACAGAGAAAAATAGTTATCAACCTGTGATTTTATACTTATCAAAATTACTCTTATTTTCTAGAGAGATATTGTAGCATTTAAGGGGCTTGCTTTGCATGTAGTCAACCCCAGTTCAGTCCCTGGTAACACCAGGCGTGACCCTGAGCACAGAACCAGGACAAAGCCCTAAGCACTGCCGGGGCGGGGGGGGGAAACATCAAAAATCTTGTCAAGATTAAAATGAAAAAAAGACATTTTCAGGACTGGAGCGATAGCACAGCGAGTAGGGCGTTTGCCTTGCATGCGGCAGACCCGAGTTCAATTCCCAGCATCCCATATGGTCCCCCAAGCACCTCCAAGAGTAATTTCTGAGTGCAGAGACAGGAGTAACCCCTGAGTATCTCCAGGTGTGACCCCAAAAAGCAAAAAAATAGACATTTTCAAGGAAACCAAACTTGAATTGTCCACATTTCTGCCTCCCCCCCACGAGAAATATTAAAGGGTCTTCTGGAGCTCAAAGGAATATAAAATCAGGTGATGCAAGAAGAGATTATTACAGGTAAATGTGACTGTGAATCCACTGAAACTAATGATGACTACAGAAAAGGATGAGCTTTTCATCCTCAGGTAGAATTGAAAATACACACAGCACTAAAATATGCAGTAGTGGCTGATGAGTTAGGAGAGGGTGAGTGCATCCGAAATCTGCATTGTCTGAGAAGTGCCATTTAATGATATCAGACTGTGGTAAGCTAACGATTCCTTTTGTAATCTGTTGAGTAAACACTAAAAGTAGTGACAGACTGTCTAACAGGCAGACTAAAAGAGAGGGGGGGAAACAGAGGTGTTTTTTTGTGTTTTTTTTTTTAATTCTCAACCCAGAAGAAGGCATAAAAAGGAAAGGGGAAAAAAAAAACAACAGAATAGATGGAACAAGTAGAAAGTATTGAGACAGGTGGATTATTGAAACCAAATGTATCTGTAATCATATTAAAGATAAATGGACTTGATTCTCTGATTAAAAACTAAAAACTGGGGGGTTGGAGAGATAGTTCAGCATGGAGGGCATTTGCCTTGCCCACGGCTGACCTGGGTTCGATCCCCAGCATCCCATATGGTCCCCCAAACATTGCCAGGAGTGATTTCTGACCACAGAGCCAGCAATAACCCCTAGACACTGGCAGGTGCGACTTCAAAACCAAAAAATAAAAATAAAAACTGTCAAAACGGCCATCAGGTAAACAATACCAGCTATTTCCAGGAGGCTGCGAAAACATGAAGCATCCCAGAAGTCCAACACGAAAAGAATGGGACAAGATAAAAGACATCGTTTGCCAAACTGCCTAAGAGGAAACTGCAAAGTTAAAATCAGGTGCCAGGGACTTTCAGGCCAAAAGTATGACTGGAAGCAAAGAAGCCTTTATTACGATGCATGTTTTCACAAAGCGCCTCTTCAGTTTACTAGGCAAATAAAAGTTCTGAATATGTGTAAATCGAATAACACGCCTGCAAAACAGGTACAAGCAAAACCCAGCAGTTCCACGACGGACGGTGGCCCCAGTCCTCGTGGGAGATTCCCACGTGCCGGATGGGGGAGGTCTGAGGCCACTGCAGACCCACACCCCACAGCTGCAGGGGTGCCAGGAGCGGGTGCAGGAGGGCGGTGGGGTAGGAGAGTCTCAGGCCTAACTGACAGCCGCTGCTTCTGAACCCAGTGATCCCCTTAACTCAGAAACTGGTTTGGGGCCACACCCAGCCGGCGCTCAGGGCTTCCTCCTGGCTCGGCACTCAGGAATCACTCTTGGCGGGCTCAAGGTGCTGGGGATCGAACTTGGGTCCGCTGCATGCAAGGCAAGTGCCCACCCACCGCTCCAGCCTCTTACCTCGGAGTATGGATCCCTTGGAAGATTTTCAGAAGTGGTAGAAGCCAAGCGAGGAGGAGGAGGCCAAACGGAGTCCCTGGTGAAGATAATGGCGACATCTCCAGCGCACAAGCACTGGGTGGGAGCCCGTGGCTGGCCTCAGAGGAGACGGCAGCTCCTCTGCAAGGGAAGTGAGAGCTGGAGGTCCCAGCTCTCCCGGGCAGAGCCCTGAGGTCCCAGCTAAGCCAGGCAGGCCGCAAGATGAAGTTTGGGATGCTCAGAGTCGCCGAGAGGGGAAGTCTGTTCCAGGTGGGGTCCCGGGTCATCCTACAGTAGAATTTCCCACCTCACGGTAGGAGGGCCCAGGGCATCGCTGGGGGACACACGGCTGGGAGCGTGGTCAGCCTGGCCCACCTGCGTTTCTGACCTCCAGGTGGGCTCTCCTGAGAGTCCTTGGGCCTGACAAGCTGCCCAGAGATCAGATGTTTGTTTGGTCCGAATGCAGGTTTCTAGTCAGTCGGGGATGGGGGCCGGGGGCCAGCCGGGTCCTGCAGACCCTGATCAGTGCTTTCTGGATGCTGTTTCTCTCTGAGCAAGCCCAGAGCTGGCCATGGCCAACACCTTCCTCACGGGAGACTCTGTGGGGTCGGAGCCGGGTGGGGCATTTGCCTTGCACACAGCCAACCCAAGTTCGATCCCGGCATTTCATATGGTCCCCTGAACACCACCAGGAATGATTCCCTAGTGCAGAACCAGAAGTAAGCCCTGAGCATCGCCAGGTGTGACAGCCAGTAGCCCCCCCACCCCTCACACACACACACAAAAAAAAACACAAAAAACTTTGTTTCAAGCCCAAGGACTTTGTCTCACCTCCTCCAGGGAGCCCTCCCAAGTTGACCTGCCTTGCCCCTCCACTCCCCAGCACCCCAGGCCTCCCCAGAGGCTGTGCTCCCCCCCCCCCCGTCTCCGCTGACCTCCCCTCCTCCCGGATCAGTTCCAGGTCCCCCCGCCGGCATCAAAGCCGTCCCTTCATCCGCCAGCAGCGTGGTGGTCTCCTGGCTGCCGCCCGCCAAGCCCAACGGGGTCATCCGCAAGTACACCATCTTCTGCTCCAGCCCCGGCTCTGGCCAGCCGGTAAGTGACGGGGACGGGCCCAGGGCAGAGTCTCTGGCATGGGTGGTATCCAACCGTACCCTTGGGTTTCTCACACCTGTTTCCGCCTGGACGCTCAGAATGGGCCGGATGCTGGGGGGTGGCAGCAGACTGACCAGGGGCCTCTGGGGGCAGCCTCTGGCCCTCTGAGGACCAGGCCTGTGCTCCTCTGGCCAGGCTGACCACAAGAGCCCCGGGCAGGCCCTGCAGAATTGGGCCAGACCCCAGCTGGCCCGTGGCCCTGGAAATAAATCCCAACTAAGTGGTGCCCCTGGGGTCAACCCCGAGTGACCTCACAAGCTGGGAGTAGCCGAGAGAAGGTTCTGGGCCTCTGTCCCCAGGTCACCCTGTCAGGACAGGTCTAAGCAGGACGCAGCTTTTCCCCTGAGTGTGGGCGGGGATGGGAGCACAGAGAGGGGAGGGGGCAAGACGGGGCCCGTGTCCCCCTCTGTGACATGTGCGAGTCACTCGTTCCTGACCATTCCCATCCATGTGCAGGGGCGGTGTACACAGAGCTGCCGGGGTCCCCGTCTGCTTGTGGGGGGCAGAGAGGCACCGTGAGGTCAGGTGGGAGCTGCGCTGGGGATAGGGGTGCAGGAGGACCCCAGCTTCCCCCTCCCTCAGGGCTCCATGTCTGCAGTGGGGAGAGTCGCCCCAAAATTGCTTGGGGGGCTTCTTCACCATCTCCCGGCCCGCTGCCGCCTGTGGGGTCTCTCCGTCACTTTCCATCTCAGAAGAAACTGGGGGACTCGGCACCCCACACCACTCACGGCACCCTGTTAGCTGCACGCACAGGGCTGCCAACAGGGGACAGAGTCGCACCCCACGAACCACCCCCCCAGGCCCTGCCCTCCCCACCGGGACACCCACACCCCCCAGAGGGAGCCGGCCCCTCCCTCCCTTCTGCTCGGCTGCCAGGTTTGGGGTTCATGGGCTGCAATCCGGCCATGTGCTGTCCCTTAAGTGCTGCCCCCAGCCGGGTCCGTCCGTCTCTGCTTATCCATCCCTAGTGTTGTCCATGGACGCATTCAGGAACTTCTCCGCGTAGTGTGGTGACCACGACCATGGGTAACAAGAGGCTTCTGCAGATGGCCTGGGGAGAGAGTACGGGGGTCCGTGCGTTCGCTGTGATCCCCAGCAACACATAAGGTGGCCTGAACTCTGCCGAGCATCAGGAGCACAGAGGCAGGACAGCCCCTGGGCACTGCTGGGTGTGGGAGAGCAGGAAGGGAGGAGGGAGAGACAGAGGGAAGGAGGGAGAGGAGGGAGGAGGAAGGGAGGGAGGGAAGATGGAAAAGAAGGGAGGGAGGAAGGGAGGGAAGGCAAGGAAGGGGGAGGGATGGAAGGAGGGAGGGAGAGGCTGAGGGAAGGAGGGAGAAGAGGGGGGAAAGAAGGGAGGGAGGGAAGGAAGGAGAATAGATGGAGGGAGAGGGGAAAAGAGGGAAGGGAGAGGCTGAGGGAAGGAAAAAGAGAAGGGAGGGAGGGAGGGAGAGAGGGAGGGAAGGAAGAAATGGGGAGGGAGGGGAGAGGAGGGGAGGGAGAAGCTGAGGGAAGGAGAGAGGCGGGGGAGGGAAGGAGAGGAAGGGAAGGAGGAGAGAGGAAAGGAGAGAAGGAGGAAAGGAAGGGGAGAAGGAGAGAAGGAAGGAGGGGGAGGGGAAGGGAGGAGAAAGGTCCTATCTGGCCGGCCAGTCCCCTGAGCACTGCCCGGGGACTTTTCCTTCCATAGAAAAATCACTTTAGTCTCTTTCTCTGAAAGCTGGCGAGGCTTCGGGCTGTGGCCCCCGGGTCTGCCCTGTGCGTGTTTTAGGGCGCCTTGGGGAAGGTCGAGCCCCATGCCCTGCACTCCCCCTCCAGGGGCCGCTGAGATAGATGGGGTCTGCACTCAGCCGGGGGGCCACAGTCCCGCTGGGTACCCGCGGCTGAAGCCACACAGGACTTGTGGGTCCAGGGCTTGGGGACAGCAGCTCCTTCCCTGCACCTGCTGTCAGTGCTCACCGTTACGCTGTAGGGGGTGTTCTTCACAGAACCTGATGCACATGCTGTCCTCCCTAGGGGGCAGTGGGCATCCGGGGTCACAGGAGTCTGGGCTTGCCCTGGCTCTGCTCCTGCATTTGCCGGTCAGCCTCCAGGATGCCCTCGCCAGCAGCAGGGCGAATGCTGCCCACCAGGTGTGCAGGGTGCATCTGCCCGCGTGTATCTAAGGCGTCAGGCATCTGTCGTTGTGCCACTTGGGTTTTGTGGTCATTATTGTCACTGTCGGGGCGGCCGTGGAGTTGGGGGGGGGGGGGCTTACCCCTGTAAGGTGTATCCTCCACCACTGAGCCCATCAGTTGGACCTCCTCTAATAGTTTCCTCAGTTACTTTTCTTCCATCTATCGCTATGTATTCGACTGGATTTTTTTTCTTGAATAATTGTTGATTCATGTTCATTATCAATTGTTTCTTAGTGATTTGTGAATGCTCTTTACATATGAAGAAAAGCGACACCACTGATTACAAGTATTTGCCCCATTCATTGCCAGCCTTTTTATTCTCACTTTTAATGGCCCCTGATTTTCTTTAAATGTAATTCAAATTTATCAATCCCTTAATTAGAAGCCTTTATTTTTGTGGTTGGAACTTAAGATTCAGGAACTTACGAGACAGGACAGCAGGGAGGGCATTTGCTTTGCATGTGGCGGACCTGGGTTCAATCCCTGGCATCCCACAGGGTTCTCTGAGCCTGCCAGGAATTAGCCTTGAGTGCAGAACAGGAGCAACTCCTAAGCACCACCAAGTGGGGGGTCCCCCCCCAAAAAATAGAAATTAGGGGACCTGAAGTGATAGCACAGCGGGTAGGGCATTTGCCTTGCACACGGTGGGTTTGATCCCTGGAATCCCATATGGTCCCCCCAGCACTGCCAGGAGTAATTCCTGAGTGCAGAGCCAGGAGTAGTCCCTGAGCGTTTCCAGGTATGACCCCCCCAAAAAACAAACAAAAAATAGAAATTAGATCCTGGGGCCAGAGAGATGCAGTGCAGGAGTAAGGCACTGGCCTTGCACATACTCAACCCAGGTTCCATCCCTGGCACCACTTATGGTTCCCTGAACCCACAGGAGTGATCCTTGAGCACCCGAGGGTGTGGGAGAGGAGAGGGGAGGGGAGGAGAAGAGGGGGGAGGGAAGGGGAAGGGGAGGGAAGGTAGATTTGATCCTGTAGCTTAAGTTTCTTCTTTGCTGTTTACCTTTTTGTTTTGTTTTGTTTTTGTGACCCTTGATGACTGGGATTTTATTTGGGAGTGTGATCGTGGAGTATTTTTTTTCCTTGTTTTTTGCTGTTACAGTCACCGTGGTCCCATCATTTCACAGTCAATGACGGGGTTTTGTGCATTCTCCACTCCCACCCCCCACCAGAGTGTTTCCTCCGTCTTCACCAGAGTCCCATGCTCTCCTCAACACCCCCAATTCCCTCCCACCCACATTTCCGTAGGCTAGTTTAGATTCTCTTTCTTTCTTTCTTTCTTTCTTTCTCTTGGCTTTTTGGGTCACACTCAGTGATGCTCAGGGGTTCCTCCTGGGTCTGCACTCAGGAATCACTCCTGTTGGTGATTCCTCGGAGACCCTATGGCATGCCTGGGATCGAACCCAAGTTGGCCACATGCAAGGCCAATGCCTTCCCCGCTGTCCTGTCGCTCCAGCCCCAGATTCTGTTTCGTTGGGCACCTGTTTCCTCCCCGCACTTCTTCCTAGCTCCCACCTGAGAGATCAGTGCGTGTCCGCCCGCCACCTCCTGCCTAACTTCCCTCAGAGGAGACTCTCCAGGGCCATCCACGTAGTGGCACTTGATTCCACGTTTTCTTGTAGCCAAGTAGATTCCATTTGCACCTGCACCCGTTCCTCTATCCGCTCATCTGTGCCGAGACACCGGGCTTTTCCCAGAGTCTTGCTGTTACGAGCCACAGTGAACAGAGGAGCGCAGATGTTTTTTCGGGATGGAGCTTTTGTTCCTTGGGGTGCGTGCCCAGAAGCAGGATAGCAAAAAAACAACACAAAACAGTAAAAAGAAGAAAAAAACTAAAATTTTTTTTTCTTTTAGGTGGGATTGCTGGGCCATATAGTTTCTAATTTGGGAGGCTTCTTTTGTTTTGGGAAGACCACACCCAACGATGCTCAGGGGTTACTCCTGGCTCTGCACTCATAAGTTACCCCCTGACAATGCTCGGGGGACCATATGGGATGCCGGGGATCGAACCCAGGCTGGCCACATCTCCGCTGTACTCTGCACCCTGGCCTCTCAATTCCTAGTGTTTTGAGAAGCGTCCGTATTGTTTCCTAAGAAAGCTCAAACCGCCAACAGCAGTGAATGAGGCTCCTTCTCCCCACGTCCCACCAATGCTGGTGGTTTGCGTTCTTCATGGCTCGCGGGTGCCAGTCTCCGTGATCTCACTGTTGATTTGATTCTCATCTCCCTGATGGTCAGGGAGGCAGAACAGCTTTCCGTTGGCCATCCGTGTGTCTTCTTTGGGGAAGACTCTACTCGACTCTCATTTTTGATGTGGGTGGCTTTTCCCCCCTTAATTTTACCTGGGCTTGCTCTATCTTGGAGATGAACCCTCTGTGGGAAGAGTGTGGACAGAGAATCCTCAATCTGTGAGGTGGGTCGCCAGGCACCTTTTTACCTTTTTATACTATTCGTTAGGGCTGGAGCAATAGCACAGCGGTAGGGCGCTTGCCTTGTGCGCAGCCAGCCCGGCCGAGCCGGGTTCGATTCCTCCGCCCCTCTCGGAAAGCCTAGCAAGCTACCGAGAGTATTCAATATGCCAAACACAGTTACAAGAAGTCTCACAGTGGATACGTTACTGGGCCCGCTTGAACAAATCGAACAACGGGAGGACAGTGTGTTTGTTTTGTACTATTCATTGTTCCTTTTGTGCTGCAGAAGCTTCCTTGGTTTGAGGGCACCCTGTCTATTCATCTTGGTGTCTGTTTGCCTGGCTGGGGGCATGAAATCATCGAAGGCGCCTCTAGATTCAGTGCCATGGAGGGTCTCAGTGTATCTTCTCCCACATGCTTTATGGGTTCAGGTGGTAGCAAGGCCTTCCATCCACTTTGGGTCGGCCGTGGGGTGTGACAAGGGGCTGAGATCATCTGTCACCAGTGACCAGCCACTTTCCCGCACTGTTTGTGGTCGCGGATGCCTGTTTACCTGCGAGACTGTCTCCGGGCTTGGTTCTGTTGGTTGCGTGGCTTTGAAAGGGATTTCAGGATAAAGAACATTACTGGGATATGGGTCCAGTCCTCGAAGAGAAAACTGACCCTTCCTGTCCCGTGTACACTCAGGTACACACTCACACATACACTCACACTCTGTCACATACTCTCACATTTAAACACACACACACACACTCACATACTCATTCACACATGATTGCACAGTCACATTCTCACACTCGGCTCACACGTTCACACATTCAGACATGTACACAAACTCATTCACACATGATCACACACTGTCACACACAGTAACACACACACACTCAAACATATACTCTTGCACACATATTCCCCACAGGCACACCGTGACTGTGCACACACACACACACACATACACACACACACACACACATACACAGTCCCAGGAAGAACTGCATGGAACAGGCAGTGATGCCCGTGCTCTGTGCATGGTGCTCTGTTCCCAGTGCTCTGTACCACTGCTTTGTGCCCAGTGCTCTGCCCAGTGAGGATGTCCTGCCCTGGAAGCCACTTTCCTCCTGCTCTGAGGCAGGGTGGCACCCACCAGTGTCTGTACTCGGGAACATGTCCCCGCGTCCCGCTCCTGGGTCGGGGCCTGTCTCAGCAGCGTGCCCGGCGTGAGCGGGAGAGAAGCATCTCTCCACCCTCTGGCCTCAGGGCTCCACAGCAGCCTCTCACTCAGCGGACCGGACACTCCGGCCACAGGGACAGGGACGGGCGGGCCTGGGGTCTGCGCTCTGGCGCTTCTCGAAAACGGCTGCTCCGATTCATTTCAATATCTGAGCCCCTGGTTTCCAAGGCAACCTAATCTTTTCATCAAAGCGACTGGTAAAACCTCTGGGGCCCGATATTGTTTTGTTGGCAACTTGTCAAAACTGTCATTTGGTTAGGGGGAAAAATTTGGAGATTGTGATAACCTACAAATACGTTGGAGATCTGTAGCACTAATAATCATTAATCGAGCGTTGCCAGAGTCCGTCGGGGGGTGGGGGGAAGGGCGGCAAGAGGACCTTCTGTCCAGCGGTGGTAATTAGCGGGTGGCCGTGACGCTCAGAGCCTCCCACTGGGCAGTCCAGCTGTCCCCTCGCCTAAGGGGCCTGAGCTCTCCCTCGCTTGAGATTTCCCTGGGACCCTCTCACCCCCTTTCCCTCCCCTGCGGCCGCCCTCTGCCCGTCACCCACCCCAGCACATGGCCTGGCCTGCAGCCACGGGTGTCTGCTGGGTGGACGAGGTCAGTTAAGGCTGGCCAGGAGCACCCTGAGGAGGCGCAGGGGCACCCAGGGTTGAGCTGGTGCAATTCTGCTGTTGCCCAGAAAAGGTCACCCTGGCCAGCCCCTCCTCCATGCCCGCCCGGGGCCTCTGTCCCCCACTGACAACCATCTCCTCCATGTCCACCCAGGGGCCTCTGTCCCCCACTGGCTACCCTCTCCTCCACGCCCACACGGACGGCCTCTGCCCTCTGCCCAGTCCCCCCTTCACGCCCAGGGCCCCAGGAAGGGCAGAGGCCTCACGCCTGACCCCTGGCCCTTCCCTGCCGGCCCCGCAGGCGCCCAGCGAGTACGAGACCAGCCCAGAGCAACTGTTCTATCGCATCGCGCACCTGAACCGCGGGCAGCAGTACCTGCTGTGGGTGGCCGCCGTCACCTCGGCCGGCCGGGGCAACAGCAGCGACAAGGTCACCATCGAGCCCGCTGGCAAGGGTGAGGATCGTGGGCGGGAGTTTCCGGAAGTTGCTCATAGCTGCCCGGAGCCCCTCCTAGAAGTCCGGTTTCCCCCACGCGGGTCTATGATCCAGCTGTGGTCAGTCCACTGCCCTCCTGCGCCCACAAGATTTGGCCTCTGCCGCCCCCTGGTGGCCATGGGTCGTCACAGCAGCTGCACCTCTCGCACCTCTCGCACCTCGAATTAAGGAGTAGACGCCTCCCGCCTTGTCCCAGGGCCTGACACCCCCAGATACTGTCAGGCAGCCCCTGACTCTCCCACTGACTCCCCTGCTGTCCCTCTGTCCCTTCTCCAGTACCACTCGGACCCTAAATCCCAGCAGCCCTCCCCAGATTCCCAACTTCCTGCCCAAGACCTGCCTCCCCCCCGTCATGCCCCTGCCTGCGTCCCTCAGGTCCCAAACCTCCTCAGAGGCAGGCTGGGACGACCCGGAAGTCATATGCGTGCGTCTGTGTGTGTGTGCCTGTGTCTATGTGTGTGTCTGTGCATCTGTATCTCTGTGTGTCTGTGCCTGTGTCTGTGTGTGTTTGTCTATGTGTCTGTGTCTGTGTGTATGTATGTGTCTGTCTGTGCATCACTGTGTATGTGTGTGTGTGTTTGTGCCTGTGTCTGTCTCTGTGTGTCTGTTGTGTGTGTTCACGTGTGTCCATGTGTGTCTATGTGTGTCTGTGTGTCCGTGTGTGTCTGTTTGAGTGTGTATCCATGTCTGTGTGTCTGTGTGTGTCCATGTGGGTCTGAATGTATGTCCATGTCTGTGTGTGTCTGTGTGTCTGTGTGTGTGCCTGTGTGTCTGTCTGTCTCTGTGTTTCTGTGTGTGTCTGTGTGTGTGTATGTGCCTGTGTGTATGTGTCTGTGTGAGTGTGAGCGAAAGACAGGAGAGTGAGTCGGGGTTAAACCCACACTTGCCAGGCATCTGCTCCATCAATAAACCAAATTCCTCGCCCTTAAAACCCCATGTTGAACACATCCTTGTGGGGACTCCTCCTGACTGATGGAGGAAGTCTGGCCTCCTTGACCAAGAAGTTAAGCCCCCGGTACTTCTCTTCTTCCAGCCCTGCTGTGCCCAGCACCCCACACCCTCTTATCCCCCTAAGTTTCTGCCTGTGGCTCCCAGCCTCGCCTCAGTGCTGCCCCCTCCTGGCAGGCCCGCCTCTCTGCAGCAGCAATGCCTCCCCTGAGAGTCGGGACTCAAGACCCAACTCCCCACGGCCTCCTGCCCACAGACACCCAGCCCCGCAGCCCCATTCCCGCATGCGCCGAGCCATGTGGGAGACCCGGGAGACAGTGAGAGATACAGCGCTTGCCTTGCACGCAGCTGACCCCAGTCCAACACCCGACAGCACGTGTGGTTCCCCCCCCCACAAGTGTGACCCCAAGTCCCCCGAGGGACAGAGCGTGTCCACGCTGAGTCCAGTGGTGGCCGGCCCATGCAGGGAGCTGGGAAACGGGTTGACAACTCACAGCCGAGGTCCTAGGCAGCTACACAGGGAAGGGGCTGAGGTGCTACCCCAGGTCCCACGGGGTCCTCACCCGCTCTGCCCGCAGCCCCTGCCAAGATCATCTCGTTCGGGGGCACCGTGACGACGCCGTGGATGAGAGACGTGCGGCTTCCCTGCAACTCGGTGGGCGACCCGGCGCCTGCTGTGAAGTGGACCAAGGACAGGTGTGCGAGACTGCCTCCCAGTGCCCCCAACTGGACCCGGCTCCCGGGAACAGGGGTGCTGGAAAGTCACGGTGCTGGGGTGCCCCCAGGAAGAGCCCAGGGAAGCCTCATCCCATGGGGGAGGGTCCTGAGCTGAGTCTGCACCAGACTGGCTGAGCCCTAACCACGCCTGCCCCGCCCACAGCGAGCACCTGCCCATCCCCACATCCATGGACGGGCACCGGCTCATCCACACCAACGGCACGTTGCTGCTGCGTGCGGTGAGGGCCGAGGACTCGGGCTACTACACCTGCACCGCCACCAACACCGGCGGCTTCGACACCATCATCGTCAACCTCCTGGTGCAGGGTGAGAACCCCAGCAGGGCATGGGGGCACGACTGTGCGCAGGGAGACGGCTGTTTGCAGGGGCGCAGGGGGGCAGCCGTTTGCAGGAGTGCAGGAGGACGGCTCTGTGCAGGGGTGCAAGGAGGACGGCTGTGTGCAGGGATGCAAGGGGAACAGCTGTGCTCGGGAGTACAGAGAGGGGGGTGGCTTGTGCAGGGGTGCAGAGGGGGAGAGAACCCTGTGCAGGGGTGAGAAAAGGGGAGAGAGCTGTGTGCGGGAGGCAGGGGGTGAGGAGACTGGAGAGAGCTGTAGGGAGTGAAGAGAGGGGAGAGAGCTGTGGGGGGTGAGGAGAGGGGAGAGGGCTGTGTGCAGGGGTGAGGAGAAGGGAGAGGGCTGTGCAGGGGCAGAGAGGGAGACAGCCATGCATGGCACAGCCAGATGGAGAGGGGTGACGGGGATGTGCTTCCCAGGCGGGAGAGTGAGCGGGAGGGCGGGGGCAGCACCCTTAGGCAGGACAAGCCTGTCCCTTGGCTGCATCTGGCTGGGGCAGCCTCAGGCCCTGCAGCCTCAGAGGTGACAGCTGGTGGCTGTCCCTTCCCAGTGCCCCCCGACCAGCCCCGCCTCACGGTCTCCAAGACCTCCGCCTCGTCCATCACCCTGACCTGGATCCCTGGGGACAACGGCGGCAGCTCCATCCGCGGTGAGCGGGGCCGGCACGGGGACCTGGGGACCAGGGACAGTCACCTCCATTACACCCAGGACTGGGTGGTGGGGGGTCTGGGATACTGAAGCCCCCCACTAGCTGATGGTGAACTGTGAGAACCGCCCCAGGTCTGAGTCCTGGCCAAGCATCAGGCACGTGTGCTACCGGGGGTGCCCGGGGGACCCTGCGAGGGCACTTGGGGGTCTCGTAGGAAGCAAGTCTGGGGTGTATGCTGAGAACTTGAGCAGTGGTGAGGAGGGGGCGGGGTCTAGGCAGGACCCCCCACCCACCCCGGAGCCTCACCCCTCAGCTTCTCAGCCCTGAGCGCTGGGGGGACCGGCATGGGCGGGGCGCTGACCCGCGCTGCCCGCAGGCTTCGTGCTGCAATACTCGGTGGACAACAGCGAGGAGTGGAAGGACGTGTTCATCAGCTCGGGCGAGCGGGCCTTCAAGCTGGACGGCCTGCAGTGTGGCACGTGGTACAAGGTGAAGCTGGCCGCCAAGAACAGCGTGGGCTCGGGCCGGATCAGCGAGATCATCGAGGCCAAGACCCACGGGCGGGGTGAGCCACAGCACCTGGTGCCGGCGCAGCCCCTGTGGGTGGCACGTGGGACCCCCGTCTCTTTTGCCTTGACTTTATTTTATTTTTGCTTGGGGGCCACACTGGGCCACACCGGGGACCAAACCCTCTGCCTCCGGGGGTGTTAGTCCATCCCGCGTCCCCCTCCTCCCTGGCCGAGTCCTGCCCCCTCTCCCTCCTCCCCAGCCTGTGCCCCGGGCCCCCACCCCGCAGCGAGCCCCCCGGCAGACGCTCTCTCCTCCCCCAGAGCCCTCCTTCAGCAAGGACCAGCACCTCTTCACGCACATCAACTCCACGCACGCCCGCCTCAACCTGCAGGGCTGGAACAACGGCGGCTGCCCCATCACGGCCATCACGCTCGAGTTCCGGCCCAAGGGCGCCTGGGCCTGGCAGGGGCTGCGGGCCAACAGCTCGGCCGAGGTCTTCCTCACCGAGCTGCGCGAGGCCACGTGGTACGAGCTGCGCATGCGGGCCTGCAACAGCGCGGGCTGCGGCAACGAGACGGCCCAGTTCGCCACGCTGGACTACGACGGCAGTGAGTGGGCACGGGCGGAAGAGGGACAGACACCCCCGGAGGCAGAGGGACAGACACCCACCAAGGCAGAGGGACAGACATCCTGGAGGCAGAGGGACAGACTTCCGAAAGCAGAGGGACAGACACCCACCAAGGCAGAGGGACAGACATCCCGGAGGCAGAGGGACAGACACCCACCAAGGCAGAGGGACAGACACCCCCGGAGGCAGAGGGACAGGCACCCCCGGAGGCAGAGGGACAGACATCCTGGAGGCAGAGGGACAGACGTCCGAAAGCAGAGGGACAGACACCCACCAAGGCAGAGGGACAGACACCCACCAAGGCAGAGGGACAGACACCCACCAAGGCAGAGGGACAGACACCCACCAAGGCAGAGGGACAGACATCCCGGAGGCAGAGGGACAGACACCCCCCAAGGCAGAGGGACAGACACCCCCAGAGGAAGAGGGACAGACAGCCCAGAGGCAAAGGGACAGACATCTCAGAGGCAGAGGGACAGACACCCCCGAAAGCAGAGGGACAGACACCCACCAAGGCAGAGGGACAGACATCCTGGAGGCAGAGGGACAGACATCCGAAAGCAGAGGGACAGACACCCACCAAGGCAGAGGGACAGACATCCCGGAGGCAGAGGGACAGACACCCCCAGAGGCAGAGGGACAGACATCCCGGAGGCAGAGGGACAGACACCCCCGGAGGCAGAGGGACAGACATTTGAAGGCAGAGGGCCAGACATCCCAGAGGCAGAGGGACAGACACCCCCCAAGGCAGAGGGACAGACACCCCCAGAAGAAGAGGGACAGACAGCCCAGAGGCAAAGGGACAGACATCTCGGAGGCAGAGGGACAGACACCCCCCAAGGCAGAGGGACAGACACTCCCAGAGGCAGAAGGACAGACATCCCAGAGGCAGAGGGACAGACACCCCCCAAGGCAGAGAGTGTGTGAGCTCCAGTGAAGGCTTGAGGAAGCCCAGGTTCAAGGGCCCCGGGATGCGCTGACCCCGGGGGAGGGGAGGCGGGGGGGGGGGGGGAGGAGAAAGGAGGTGGAGTCAGTGGCCAGAGGTGGTGGCTCCAACGTGGGTGAGGCCTTGACACAGGAAGGGCCAGGGCAGGGCAGGCAGAGTCCCCAGAGGCTGCTGCTTTGGATGGGGGCTCTCAGGGAGAAATACAGGGTGCTGGGGGCTCCATCTCCGTGTGGGGACCCCCAGCTTCTCCCCATTATTCCAGGAAAACCCCAAGCATCCTATCGCGTCATGAACACGGCACATCTGTGCCGGGCGGACCTGGGGGTGGGGGCCAGGATTGGGGGCCACAGAGGAGAGAGAGGGTCAGGAATGTGCACCTGGAGAAAAAGGTTTGGGTGAGACCTAGAGTGGCAAGAGGTCAAAGGGCCCTAGGGTGGGGCTCACACGACCCGTGTGGGCCAGGCCCTGGGTTCGAGCCTTGAATGTCCCCTTCGTGAACACCTCCAGGCGAGCCCCCCGCCCCAGCCGTGCAAACCCTGAGCCTCTCCTCCCCTTCCAGGCACCATCCCCCCCATCAAGTCTGCCCAAGGGGAGGGGGACGACGTGAAGAAGCTCTTCACCATCGGCTGCCCGGTCATCCTGGCCACGCTGGGGGTGGCCCTGCTCTTCATCGTCCGCAAGAAGAGGAAGGAGAAGAGGCTCAAGCGGCTCCGAGGTGCAGGGCCTTCCTGCGGACGTCCAGCGGGCATCCTCTGGGCTTCCTCTGGACATCCAGCAGGCCTCCAGTGGGCCTCCTGTGGGTGTCTGTAGGCTTCCTGCAGGTGTCCTGGGGGCATCCTGCAGGTGTCCAGCGGGCAACTTGCAGGCATCCTCTGGGCTTCCTCTGGGCATCCATCAGGCCTCCTGTGGGCCTCCTGCAAGCATCCTGGGAGGACACCAGTCTCTGCCCGTGGCACCTGGTCTGGACCGAGCAGGGCCTTGTGTCCTGAGGCAGTGGGTAGCCTCTATGCCCCTGGCTGTCCACTGCTTCCTCCTCCCCCACTGGAATTTGGTGGCTGCCCAGTGGAGCTGTACTAAGCTGGCTCAGTTGCTGCTTGAAATTCAAACTTTTCCTGCTGATGAGCAGATGCTGCTGCCGTCAGCCCTGGGGTCTACCAGACTTGAAATCCTCTTTTTGGGGGGAGGGCGTGGGAGGGACACACCCGATGGTGCTCAAGGGTTACTCATGGTTCTGTGCTCAGGAATCACTCCTGGCAGGCTCGAGAGACCATTTGGGATGCCAGGGATCAAGCCCAGATCAAGGCACGCACCCTACCCACTGGACTGTCCTCTCCTCTTTGGATTGGACCTTCCTATGAGACAAAATCTGGGGAAAGGGGCCCGGGAGATAGAACAGGGATGGAGGCATTTTCCTGGCACACAACCAACCTGGGTTCAATCCCTGGTACCGCATATGGTCCCCAGGAGTGTCCTGCCAGGAGTGACCCTTGAGGGGGGGATGCTTGCCCTGTTCGCATCCAACCAGGGTGTGATTCCCGGCATCCCCTCAGGATTAATTCTTGAGTGCAGAGCCAGGAGTGACCCCTGAGCAATCTCTGGGTATGACCCCAAAAAGCAAAAAAAAAAAAAGAAAAGAAAAAGTAACTTTTGAGCGGAGTCCAGCGGGTAGGGCGTTTGCCTTGCACACAGCTGACCCGGCTGACCTGAGTTTGATTCCTCCGCCCCTCTCGGAGAGCCCGTCAAGCTACCGAGAGTATCTCACACGCACAGCAAAGCCTGGCAAGCTCCCCGTGGTGTATTCGATATGCCAAACACAGTAACAACAAAGTCTCCAATGGAGACGTTACTGGGCCCGCTCGAGCAAATCGATGATCAATGGGAGGCCAGTAGATGGTGGAACTCTTGAGCATTGCTGCTGTGCCTCTCCCCCTGATTATTTTTCAATCTGAGGAAACAGTGACCACACAGCATTTGCCTTACACACAGCCAACCCAGGTTCAATCCCCAGGGCCCCATGTGGTCCCTGGAGCACCTCCAGGAGGACTCCCTGAGCACAGAGCCAGGAGTAAACCCTGAGCCTCACAGGGGGTGGCCCCCAAACCAAATAAATCAATAAATCAGGTGACAGGAGGGGCGGGGAAGGCTCAGAAGTCTGCAGCGAGTGTCTCAGTGTCCGACTCACGCAAGCACCCGGGTTTGATCCCCGACACGAGGGGTGGCCCTGGCGGCCTCAGCACCCCCACACCTGAGCAGGGCCTCCTGGCCAGGCCCCCGGCATGCGGCCCGTGCTATGCCCCCAGGCCTGCTGAGTCCCCCACAGACACTGAGGAAGGCCAGTGCCCTGCCCTGAACCCTGGGATCTTCCCACCTCACTGTCCCGGGGTGTCCCCAGAACCCGATTCCAGGGGTTCTCCCTGCTGGCTCCCCGGGTCCATGCTAGGCCCCCTGCCCCCCGCGCCGACCGTTCTCACCCTGGGTCCCCTTCTCTCCTCTTTTGCAGATGCCAAGAGTTTGGCAGAAATGCTGATCAGGTGAGTGTTGCCTGGTGCTGCCCCTCCCTCCCCTGCAGGGCACAGGCACCTGAGTCCCCCCTCATCCCGCCCCCCGCCTCTGCGGTGCACCCCCCACGGCTGAGGGTCACCCACCTCCAGCTCTCCCCCCCATAGCAAGAACAACCGGAGCTTCGACACCCCCGTGAAGGGGCCGCCGCAGGGGCCTCGGCTACACATCGACATCCCCCGGGTCCAGCTGCTCATCGAGGACAAGGAGGGCATCAAGCAGCTGGGTGAGCGCGGGCGCCCCCGCCCCAGCCCACCCTGCACCCAGCCCCCGTCTACCATGCCCCCGCACCCACCCCAGCTCACCCTGCACCCACACTCATACCCCAGTCTACCCCACACCCATCCCTCAGTCTACCCAGACCCACCCCCACACCTGCCCCCACACCCACACCCATACCCCAGTCTCCCCTGCCCCTGCACCCCAGCTCACCCGGCACCTGCCCCCTCCCCCACACCCCAGCCGACACACCCACAAACCCCAGCTCACACCCCAGCCCACCCCACACCCCAGTCCCCCCCACATACATGCCCCCCACTCCAGCACCCCCCCAGGGCTTTCTGTGTTGCCAAAATCAGAAAAAGACGGAGGGAGCAATAGCACAGCGGGTAGGGCGTTTGCCTTGCACACGGCCGACCTGGGTTCGATTCCCAGCATCCCATATGGTCCCCTGAGCCCTGCCAGGAGTAATTCCTGAGTGCAGAGCCAGGAGTAACCCCTGTGCATTGCTGGGTGTGACCCAAAAAGCCAAAATAAATATAAATAAAATTGAGGCATTCAGGGGGCTGGAGCAATAGTACAGCGGGTAGGGCGTTTGCCTTGCACACGGCTGACCTGGGTTTGATTCCCAGCACTGCCAGGAGTGATTCCTGAGTGCAGAGCCGGGGTAACCCCTGTGCATCGCTGGGTGTGACCCAAAAAGCAAAAAAGCAAAAAAAAAGAAAAATGAAAAGGACAGAAGCATCCAGGTCCTGAAGGCCGCACCCCGGGAATGGGCTCCTGTGACTCCCTTCTCTCCCCAGGAGACGACAAGGCCACCATCCCCGTGACCGACGCCGAGTTCAGCCAGGCCGTCAACCCGCAGAGTTTCTGCACAGGGGTGTCGCTGCACCACCCGGCCCTCATCCAGAGCTCAGGGCCCCTCATCGACATGTCGGACATCCGGCCGGGCACCAGTTCGTACCGAGACCCGGTGGGGGGCGGGTGGGAAGGACCCCAGGCAGCGGCAGGGAGGGGAGTGCCAGGGAGGCTGCGCCCCTCTGGCTGGGCCCCTCACTTTCTCACCCAGAGATGCTGGGGTGGAGGTCCCTGGTACCTTAGAGTCACACGAGGGGAGAATGCGGCAGTCTGGGGGCTAGCCACCTGGATGGCCAGACAGCCCCCCTCCTCCCTTGCTGGCCAGTGCCCACTGCCCACACCAGGGGGTCCCTCAGCTGGGGGGGTACCAGCTCCGCTTCCCTCTGCGCAGACCCGGTGTCCAGGAAGAACGTGAAGTCCACACACAGCACCCGGAACCGCTACTCCAGCCAGTGGACGCTGACCAAGTGCCAGGCGTCCACCCCCGCCCGCACCCTTGCCTCTGACTGGCGCACGGTGGGCTCTCAGCACGGGGTGACCGTCACTGAGAGTGACAGCTACAGCGCCAGCCTCTCGCAGGACACGGGTGAGCCCAGAGCCCTTGGTGACCGACTCCTGCTGGCGGCCCTTTGCCCAAACCCCCGGGGCACCCATGCCTGCGTCCCGGGCCAGTCCCCCGGCTCGCCAGACACTCGGCCGCCCTGATTTGTGCTTGACCGAGAATCTCATTTTGCTCCCCATCATTCCCCACACACACAAAAACATGGCCCACGTGACATCTGCCAGGGAAAGGGCTGCCCTTTCCTGGGGAGTGTCTGTGTGCCAAGGATGAAGGCAGCTGGGCTGGGGAGGGAGGGGTGGTGGTAAAGCAATCATCTTGCATGCACGCGGCCCTGGGTTCGAGCCCAGGCATTAGAGGGAAAGAGGAGAACAGAGAGAGGGGCTGAACACGTGCCCGCATACAACAACCCAGCCTCTCTCCTCAGCACCGCAGGGTCCCTGGAGAGACCCCCAAGAACCACTAGGCATGGCCCCCAAACCCAAAGGGCAGAATGCTGGCTCTAAGCCACTTCCGCCCCACGCTCCCGGCAGTGGGCGAATGGCACCTTCTGAGCCTGCCGGGGTCAGGGCTGGGCCTCCCCCCGCTAACCATCCCGCTTGTGTCCATCTCGCTCGCCCAGACAAGGGACGGAACAGCATGGTGTCCACCGAGAGCGCGTCCTCCACCTACGAGGAGCTGGCGCGGGCGTACGAGCACGCCAAGCTGGAGGAGCAGCTGCAGCACGCCAAGTTCGAGATCACCGAGTGCTTCGTCTCCGACAGCTCCTCGGACCAGATGACCACGGGCACCAACGAGAACGCCGACAGCATGACGTCTGTCAGCACGCCCTCCGAGCCGGGCATCTGCCGCTTCACCGCCTCCCCGCCCAAACCGCAGGACGCCGACCGGGGCAAGAACGTGGCTGTGCCCATCCCTCACCGGGCCAACAAGAGTGAGTGGGCACACCACCTCCCCGGCAGGGGTGGGGGGCCCTGTGCCCCATCCCCAGTCCCAGCGGGCACCCTGGGGAAGTCAGGATCCCAGGGGGCTGACAGCTTAGCTCTGCTCCATTCACCGCTGTCACAGACCCACTGGCCGGCCGGCTGGCCACACATGCACATCTTGTCCGTACGTGACAAATGAGAGAAAGAGTTTCTCACTGATGTCCCCTAAGACCATGCATGCCCCAAATGCAGAGTGGACTCTCCGAAAACAATGCCCAGGGGCTGGAGCAATAGCACAGTGGGTAGGGCGTTTGCCTTGCACACGGCCGACCCGGGTCTGATTCTCAGCACTGCCAGGGGTGATTCCTGAGCACAGAGCCAGGAATAACCCCTGTGCATCACCAGGTGTGACCCAAAAAGCAAAAAAAAAAAAAAAAATAACAATGCCATCTGCTGTTTTCTAACTGTGCCCATTAAGAAATAACCAAAGGGTAAAATAAAAAAAAAGAAAACAGTGCCCAGTCCCTTACTTGGAAGCAAGTCCAGCCCGGAAGGAGGACCCAAAGGCCACTGGTCATCATCATATAGCCTGGCTTTGTCCAGGCCCAGAGGAGTCAGACCTCATCCTGGCTGGTGGCCCTGAGCCCTGCCCATTGGCATCTGACAACCAGGAAGTTCCCAGGGCTGTTTATTTGGCAGACACTTTGAACCAGGGTGGGCGGGGGGCTCCCAGGGCAGAGCATCCAGGAGGTGGGGTTCCAGCAATGACAAGGGGCCAAGGAGACAGGAAGGGTCCGTGGAGGCCCTGCAGCAAACTCAGGCTCCATTTGAAGAGGGACCGTCCTCTCTCAGGGGAGTAAAAAGCCTTGATGGAGCAGGGCTGAAGCGCTGGCTTTGCTGGAGGAAGCCAGGGTTCAATCGCTGGCACCACATGGCACCCCAGAGCACTGCCAGAAGTGACCACCCACCCCCACAAAAAAAAGTAAGGTCTTAATAGCCACGGAAAATCCTTAATAGTCCCCATGTGGGGTAAGCTCCAAGCGATTGGTGCTGCCTGGCCTGTGGGCCACGTGGAGCAACAAGGGACAGTGCACAGAGCAGCCGTGGTGGCAACGGCAGACATCACCACGTTCCCCTTGGCTCCTCTCCCCAGCTGGGGAGCAGCTGAGGCCCCCCAGCACAGATCTGGGAGTGAGAGGCCCATACAGGCCCGGGAGGGGCTCCTTTAACAGGCCGGTGAGAAGCCGCGGGGCCCGGAGCGATAGGGCAGTGGGGAAGGCACTTGCCTTGCACATGGCCATCCCAAGTTTGATCCCCAGCATCCCCCTCTGGTCCCCTGAACACTTCTAGGAGTGAGCCTGAGCACTGAGCCAGGAGTCACTGCTGAGTATCACAATAACAGCACTGTAGCACTGTCCAAACAGTAGCACTGCCCTCCCGGTGTTCATTGATCTGCTCGAATGGGCACCAGTAATGTCTCACAACAAATTGTGAAACTTGTTACTGTGTTTGGCCTATCGAATACGTCACGGGGAGCTTGTCAGGCTCTGCCGTGCGGGCGAGATACTCTCGGTAGCTTGCCGAGCTCTTCGAGAGGGGCAGAAGAATCAAACCCGGGTCTACCATGTGGGCCGCATACAAGGCAAAACGCCTTACCCGCGGTGCTATCGCTCCAGCCCAAGTATCACAATAGTACTGTAGCACTGTCCTCCCGTTGTTCATCAATTTGCTCCAGCGAGCCCACTCACGTCTCCATTGTGAGACTTGTTGTTACTGTGTTTGGCATATCGATTACGTCAGGGGTAGCTTGCCAGGCTTTGCCGTGCTGGCAAGATATTCTCGGTGGCTTGCCGGGCTCTCTGAGCGGGGTGAAGGAATCGAACCCAGCTCAGCCGGTTCGGCCGCGCGCAAGGCAAATGCCCTGCCGCTGTGCTATCCAGTATCACAATAACAGAGTGGGGGGTGGGGAGGGGAGAAGAGGCCGGCCCTGATGCGTCTGCTTCGTTTCCAGGCGAGTACTGCAACCTCCCGCTCTACCCCAAGTCCGAGGCCTTCTTCCGGAAGAGCGAGGCGCGTGAGCCCTGCCCGCTGCTGCCGCCCCGGGAGGCCTCCGTGCGGAACCTGCCTCGCCCCTACCACCCCCCGGCCCGCCACCTCACCCTGGACACTGCCAGCAAGCCCCTGGGCCTCCCGCACGCCGGGGCGCCCGCGGCCGCCTCCACGGCCACCTTACCTCAGAGGACTCTGGCCATGCCCGCGCCCCCCTCCGGCACGGCCCCCCCCAGCCCCCGGCCCCGCCCCCGCCGAGCCCCCTCCAGCCCCCAGCGCTGCCCCTCCGGCCCCCAGCACCGAGCCCCCGCGGCCGGGGGGTCCCCACACCAAAATGGGGGGTTCCAGGGACTCGCTTCTCGAGATGAGCACGTCAGGGGTGGGGAGGTCGCAGAAGCAGGGGGCCGGGGCCTACTCGAAATCCTACACCCTGGTGTAGGGGCGCCTTGAGAGAAGCTGACCCCCACCCCCCGCCCTGCTCCCCCAGGCCGGCAGACACTTCTGGGCTGTGTGTTTCTGCAGTTTGACCCGACAGACAGGAAAGGACCCCACCCCCACCCCGTCCCCCCAAACGTCATGAAACGCCTGTACATAGGACTCTTTTGTACAAATGAAACTATTTTCTTCTTCATGAAGCCAGGGCACAAGAATCGGACGGTCCGCGTCGACCCCCGCCCCCACCGTCAGCGTCGAGAGATGCACCCGTGTTCGGAAGGACGCGTCTGCATCTCTCCCGCCTGACCCAGACAGAGGCACAAAACTCAGCACCTTCCTTCCCCTCCCACCCCTCACCCACCCCCACCACCCCCATTCTAGGTGGTTTTCAGAGACCGAGATTCCAACTCAGAGACACTGCATGCAATTTTACTGTCCCGAGAAAACCAGGATTTGCTTCACTTTGCAGATGCTTATGTGTTAATACCTTTTTCTATGAAAAAAAGACCCAGTGCCGTGTGCAATAAAGGCTATGTTTCTACGGCTGCCTCTTTCCCACCGGCCCAGGGCCCCGGGGGGGACCTGAGGGGTATGAAGAGCATGTTGATGAGTTGAGTGGTCCAGGGACATCGGCCTGTCCTGTTCTCCCACCTATGCTGTGTGGCTTTGAGCCAGCTCCTAACCCCCTCTGTGCCACATTGCCTGGTCTGCAGGACACACACACTTTGGGGAGTCTGGAAGGGATGGGATTGAAGGTGGGGTGTCTACTCGTTTCAGACCCACCGGGGATGGAGTGACAATACAGCAGGTGGGGTGTTTGCCTTGCACACAGTCAACCTGACATCCCAGAGGGGGGCCCCCAAGCACTGCCAGAAGTGATCTCTGAGCACAGAGCCGAGAATATGCCCTGAGCACTGCTGGGTGTGACCCAAAGCCAAACCCACCAGTGATCGAGGGCTGGGTTCGGTCTTATTTGTTGGGGAAGTGGGGGTGGGGGTGGGGCACACCTGGGTGTGCTCAGGCCTAACTCCTAACTCTGCATTCAGGGCTGACTCCTGGTAGGGTGGGATGGAGTTTGAGGCCAGAAGCACTCAAGACAAGCGCCGTACCTGCTGCAACACCTCTCTCCAGTCCTGGGCTGGTTTTTTCAGCCAATAAAACTGCTGGGAGAGAGAGAGAGAGTCCTTCGGGGCTGGAGTGATAGCAGAGCAGGCAGGGCATTTGCCTTGCACATGGCCAACCCAGGTTCAATTCCCAGCATCCCGTATGGTCCCCCAAGTACCGCCAGGAGTAATTCCTGAGTGCAGAGCCAGGAGTAACCCCTGGGCATCGGCGGGTGTGACCCAAAAAGAAAAAAAAAAAGTTTCTTTTCAGGAGTGGTGGCACAGTCTAGGGTTGCAGCAAAGGAGTGGGCGTCTGTGTTGGGGGACTGTTAAGATGAGGCAGGGTCAGGCCGGGTGGGCTGGCAGAGCCCCATATGTGCTTGGGGACGGCGCAGCTGGAGGGAATCAGTCTGGGGGCCTGGCCTGGCAGGGGCTGCCAATTAGCAGGCGGGAGGAGGGCGCATGTGCCCTTGCGCGGAGCTGCCCGTGCCCCCCCGCCCCCACCCCTGAGCCCGGGAGCAGGACCAGTAGCCGGCTCCTGGTTGGGAAGGAAGGGCACCTGGGCAGCGCCCCGAGTCACGGCGGAGATCCGGAAGACGGTGAGTGCTGGGAGAGTGGGCGGTGGGGTCCATACGGACACGCCCAGCACATCTGCGGCTGGGAGGACACAGAGGGAGCGGCCAAGCTCAGCTCTGTAAAGGGCAAGAAGCAGACCAAGTCTGGAACTGGAAATCCGCCTCCACCCCAGGACCTACTCCCCCCACCCCCCCGGGACCCCGACCCCACCACCCACCCGTAGGAGACAATCATGAGATCCTAGACACCTGTTCCAGGTGCAGGAGCCTGACGCCCCCTGCAGGTCGCCTGCCAAACTACAGGCGAAAAGCTCCATCCCAGGCGTGCTGAGACCCAACTGCAGCGCCCTCCTGCTGGACCCTGGAATCGAATTAGCGAGGGTGGGGAGAGAACAAGCCCCCAGGGGCTCGAGAGGAATGGGGACAACCCCTCCCCGGCTTCCGCATCATGAAAATGCATTGGGGGGGTCTTTTACTCCATGCCAGGGGCAGAGCTAAGAAGGGTGCCCAGGGACCGAGGTTCCACGTTCCCAGTGGGACCATCTCACTCCTGGAACTCGAGCCCCAGCTGGGTGGAAGTGGGGTCTCTGCTGTGCTGGCAGGGGTGGGGCGAAAGGGGGAGTCAGCGGAAGGGTCTGGGGTTAGAGGAGCAAAAAGGCATGAGGCCGTTTCATTGTGCTCAGCTGAGCTTAATCCCAAAGCTCGTGGGAAGGGATGCGGCAGATGGTGCAGGACCCACAGTTTTATCCGCAAATACCATCCGACCTCCCTGTGTTCCTGGGTGGGGCAAGGGGCGCACCCAGCAGTGCTCAGGGGCTACTCCCCTGGGGTCCTTTGGGGGACCACTGTGCTGAGGATAGAATTGGGGGCCCCTGCATGTAAAACCGTGCTCCAGGCCTCTCTCTGTCCCCAAGCTGAGCCTTGCCCGCCTCCCAGAAGGGTCTGAAAGCTGCTTCACCGCCACCTGTGCGCCTCTCACTCAGCCTGCCCGGGTCATCACCAAGCTCTGATTCCGGAAACTTCGTCCTTCGCAGCTCCTTGCTCCTCCCAGGCCCACCACAGACAGGTGACCACACAAAAGACCAGTGGTGCCAGGAGCACTCTCCTAGCTAGTAGTTGTTAGAAATGCACAGTGCTCAGCTGGGGACATGCTGATGAAGGGTCAGGGTTGGAACATTATCTAAGCAAATTTGTAACTGTGTATCTCACAGTGTAAAGTAAAAGTAAGTAAAGGCCCTCCCGTTGATCATCGATTTGCTCGAGCGGGCCCAGTAACGTCTCCATTGGAGACTTTGTTGTTACTGTGTCTGGCATATCGAATACTCTCGGTAGCTTGCCGGGCTCTCCGAGAGGGGCGGAGGAATCGAACTCGGGTCGGCCATGTTGGCTGCGTGCAAGGCAAACGCCCTACCCGCTGTGCTATCGCTCCAGCCAGTGATTCAATTAAAAAAATTTTTTCAAGAAATACAAGTGCTATTGGGACTGGAACTGCATCAGGTTAAGGCGCTTGCCTGGCACTTAGCACTTGCCTGACCCTTTCACTGACACCCCATACGGTCCCCTGAGCACCACCCGGAGTAATTCCTGAGTGCAGAGCCAGGAGTAACCCCTGAGACTTGCTAGGTGGGTGACTCCCCCAAAACCATCGCCCCCCCCAAAAAAAAAGAAACATAGGTTCTGGGGTTGGAGCAATGCTCTTGCCTTGGGCAACTGATTCAGATTCCATCCCTGGCATCCATATGGACCCTTGAATCCCCCCAGCACCAATTCCTGAGAACCAAGTTAGGAGTAAGCCCTAGGCAACGTTGGGTGTGGCCCCCCCATTCCAAAAAAAAAAATATGTGTTTAGGCCTCTGGCAGCACACGCATACACTCGAGTGTGTGCAGGTACGCACACGCGCGCGCACACACACACACACACAAATCTACAGTGTAGTAACATCAAACTCCTCCCCCCCCCTTAGCCTTGGCCAACAACCTGAGCAACACTGATGGGTCCAATTTACTTGAAATCACATTCACCCGAGGAGTGGTAGTTGAGCACACAAGCCCAGATCTCTTGCCTGCCTCTGAATTTCTACTGGGGGGTGTTGCAGCTGGGACATTGGTGTTGTGGGAATTTCAGTTCTGGTCTGAAGGCTACACAACATAAAACGCACCTCGGGAGCCAGAGAGAGACCCAGAGGTCAAGGTGCCCGTCTGGCACACAGCCAACCCCAGCATCACGCACTGTCCCCTGGGTACCAGCAGGAGTCATCCCTGAGTACCCCCAGGCATGCATCTTCCTGCTGCCCACCCCACCCCCCTCAAAAACAAAAAAAAAAACAACGCAATCATTGCCAGATCCAAGTCAAGGAACTTTCTTCCTATATTTTTCCCCCCCTTGGAATCCGATGCCTTAGGTTTAAGTCTTTATCCCATATCATAAGTGGTCGAAGATGGGATAGAGCTTCATCCCTTACACGTTCAACTATTCTAGCACCAGTTTGGAAGGAGACTTGTCTGCCCGGCCAAACAGTATGTGACTGCAGCAGCTGGGCTTGTTCCTGGACTCCTGACTCCGTCAGGCTGCTCTGCTTTCAGGCCATTTAATGTCCGCAGCTTTATAGTAGAACTTGAGGATATGCGAGGCCTCTGGTATTTTGTTGTTGTTGTGTTGTTGTTCTATTGAAAATTGCTTTGACTGTTCCAGTGTTGGGCTGGAGTAATATCACAGTGGTAGGGCGTTTGCCTTGCGTGCAGCTGGCCCGGCCCAGCCGGGTTCTATTCCTCCACCCCTCTTGGAGAGCCTGGCAAGCTACCGAGAATATTTCGCCCACATGGCAAAGCCTGGCAAGCTACCCGTGACGCGTATTCAATATGCCAAACACAGTAACATCAAGTCTCACAATGGAGACGTTACTGGGCCCGCTCGAGCAAATCGATGAACAACGGGAGGACAGTGTTTGTTCCAGTGTTAAGACCCGGGACTGCGGGTTTCCAAGTGGTAAGATGGACAGAGGCACAAACAAGATAATGCAAGAGCAAAAGGAGTTTATTCCAGTTAACTGGGGTCAATGATCTCACCCAGTGAGTGGTCTCTTGATAGAGACCCCAACGCCGAGTAGTTTACAGAGGTTTTAAAGTTTCAAAGTTAGGCCAGCACTATGGTAACAGTGGTCGTCAGGCAACAGTTATGCAATAGTTTCCAGTAACAGTTTATGGTTACATTCTCTGTGTTTCTGTCACATTGTGACTGATTGGCTTCAGGTTGGCTGGTTACATATTATTTGATTTCTGGGAAACTAAAACTGTTTCAGTTTCAGGAACTAAACCCGAGGCCTAACCTGATTTTTCTCATTTCTGCGCCTCTCATGG